TCAATATGGCAAGCGAGCTTTGCTTTCTACTTTTTCTTTTTTTTTAAGCGCGTATCATCTCTTGCTATCCCTGTGGAGCATTTAGTTTTAATGAGGTACACTCTACACGCTGTGTGACTGGCACAGTGAGATTCTTAACATATGATGAAAACGATTTGATCGCAGAGAGGAAGTGGATCTGGTTTGCTGGCGAGAAGTAAAACCAGTTAGAGCCTTTCTTTATGTCTGCACCTTTGACTTAAATATCCTCCCTTAAAAACACCTCAGAAGAAACACACGCCCTTTCCTTTCGTTTGTATTGACCTATGTGACCAAACATCGCCCATAGCAACCAGCTGAAGGATTAGTTCAATGAGGACACTATTAGAACTAATGTCACAAACCGACCCTGAGCTACCGATAAACTATGTCATTTATCTCTGGGGGTTTTTTCTGCACACGGCCCAGCAGCTGTGCCGCTCTCTGCTGCTTGGCATTCTGCTTCGCTCCGAGCCTCCTGCACAAGCGAAAGCAAAGAGCACTTTGATTTTCCTGGTCGGCCCTTCGGTTGTTAAACGGGGGAGACCGAGGCACGCAAGGGAATTTAATTTTGAAAAAAGATCATATGGTGGTCAAAGTCAGCTGCAGGGGCGGCTGGTGCTGCTGGTGTTGTTGTTGCATCTCTTTTACGGATGTGAAGCGCTTGTGGGAAGTAAAAGCCGGTTAGTGGGACTTCTCTTTGTAGCGAGCCAGAGGAGGCAATTTCACAGCTGCATGGACGGTGGACAGTCGGGTTGTTATTGTGGTCCATCTCAACCGCAACAGGCTCCACATTAATCCCTCTTAACAGTCTCTCAAGCTAATAATCACAGGATAATCACACACTATTTTGTGTACCAGCCTTGTATCTATGTGTCAACACAAACACTGCATCCTTTCTCACAGAATGAGGACGTCCAGAGGGTCTGTAGTTTCATCTCAGTGTGTCTCAGTTATCTCTGACCTAAAGTCACTGTATTGACCCAACAATTATGTACAGTTAAGTTACTTCCCCAGTGATTGACACTCTTCCGTTTGTGTTAGCATTATTGCGTGTGTGTGTTTATCTGCAATTAATGATTGTCGGAACACAATTCTCAGATATTTGATTATGGAGCTATGAAAATGTCCCATTAAAGTGGTTTGTTTCTCATTGAACGAGTCTTTCTGTCCCCGTGAGCAAAAACCCCACTTAAAAACTGTAAAAAAATGGTAACTAAGAAGTTTACAGGGAGTTAACATTGCATATTTACATTGTCAGTACATTTGTTCATAGTTTTAGGTCTCTTATAAATGGAGTCTCTTTTATAGCAAATAACCAACTGATCAATAACAGAAGCTCTTATTCAGAAAACTACAAATGAATCACCGTTGCTTGCCGGTTTGCTCGGTTATGTTCACAGAAAAATGACCGTAACGCTTAAACAAAAGATGCTACTAGGCTTGTCATTCCTGAATATCAGCTGATCAAAAAATCTTGAAAGGGGTGTGCGATTTCTTGCACAATTGGAGGAAGCAGAGCTCCGACAAGCCTGGGCACGCTGTGCTTTCTGATTGTGAACACAGAACGATGGCTGATGTACTGAATGTACTCAAACACGTTGGAATAAACCGTTGGGACGAGGATCGCGGCTCGATTGTTATCTGCGACTGCAATAGTCAAATTTAATAATGACTTTGCCGCTTCAATATAGATGCTGCGAGCATAGAGAGGCTGATGAATGCTGTAAAAGCGTCTAAAACCAGTATATCAATACATCGGAGGAAAAACCTGTTATCGGCAGAGGCATACAAACCTGAGAGGTTTACAGCTGCCAGGGTGTGTTTGTTGACCCTCAAATAGCGTCAGGCCTTTGCCACTATAAGTAAGGGACTGTTTGCAACACTAACAAAAAGCCTAATAAACAGAGCTCAAATCTTTTGACCACTTTGGCAACATAAAACGTTTCTTAACCGCTCCTTAAAAAAAAAGAAAACAGGTAGTCAACAGAAACACGTTGCTTTCTACAGGAGACTGAGGTTATTGTTACAAGAAGTGGTTCTCCAGCCTTTCTGGAGCCTATTGTGAGTCACATTAGGTGGGTGCGCTTAAGTCCTTGCTCAGTTAAATCCTTCGCCTCTGCCTTCTTTCATTGCTGTTGGTCAATACAGGCAGGTCATTTCCACACATGCAAAATCTACAAGAACGCTTGCAAATGAATGGGTCATTCACAGGTGGGTAAAGAAGATATATTGTAAATTCATTTTTGTCACGCTTGAGGGCAACTAATGAGAACTAATTGAGAGCCCAGAAGCAGCTAGATAAGGAAGAGGTTTTGCAAAAGATAAAAACATAAAGCATAAATATGCTGGACAGCTTTCACAGACCAATTCACACTCACGCACACCAATGACTCTCTCGTGGTTTATTTGTGTTAGCGGCAACAACTACTTTATTTGACCTAATTTGGTCTCAAAAGGAGAAGCGTCAGAAAGGATCAGAATCACACCACATGATCACCTTAATAGTAAATGCCGCAAGAGGTGTGTCGCTGATTTGTTTAGAGCATTTAGCAGTTATTTCAGCTTTCTATTTACTTCTATTATGTTTACAGCATTTGTACAGCACATTTTACTTGATTGAAATCCAGACCCAATTAAAGCAACGTTCAATAGACGAGTGTAAGGAAAAGACCTTGTCAAGAAACCCGCCCCCCAGATTTCTTGTGATAATAAGAGATCAGTATTTATGCCCCACGGTGAACATACTGCTCATGCAAATTTGGAAATAATCTGGTTCTCTATCCTCAGGCATGGGAGCAGATTGCAAACACATTCAGTATTAATACTTAATTTATTCACAGCCAAAACTGTCTTTCTCCTTCTAGAGGACACATGACATGAAAGCATGTGCAAAATACTTGCTATTACTGAGATGTTGCACTTTAATGGTCTGCCAATGGGAAGAGCCGCAGTATAAAACCTATTTAGTTCAACATCAATATATAAATATTTGTTTTATGTAATAAATTCTGGCACAACACCCCGAACCATAAAACAGGCTCTATAACAACATTATTGTCACTATCGTTCCCAGGTGACATGCTCGGCTTAGAAACAGGAAGCAGCAGCCGGGACACCTGCTACAGAAACAAACGCACCCCACCGCCTGGGCCGACCTGCTCCTGCTGGCCTGCCAATAATGCTCGAGTTGCTGCGTTCAATAACCTCCGTGAATCCGTGACACGGAGGTTATATGAGCAATAACAAACGACACCAAACGAGACATGGCGGAAGTAACGTTGCAGATACACACACACACACACACGCGCAAACACAGACACGCAAACACAGACACACAACGGCCGAGTGTCGCATCGGTTCATGTTACAAACTTTAGGGCAGAGGACCTGTCGGCTGCAACAGGTGTCCCCCCCTCCGTCAGGTGTCCCACACTCACCTTTGTGTAATATGACATCCACAGCTCGTACAGCCTTTCCTTCGAAGCCATCCCGCCGCCCTTGGGATTGCTCACGTCTCCCATTTGTTTTGCTTCTGTTAAATCATAGAATATGTGAGCTTTGTCGGAGCAGGAGCCGTTTGACCGTGTTTCCTGGAGGATGGCGGACAGGGCGCGCTCCTGGGAACCATTCCTGCTCATTCGGGCACTATAATCCACGCAACAACAACAACAACAAAAAAGTGCCTTCTTTCTCCGCACGCGAAGTTATCGCAAGAAAAAGAAAAGGAAAACACGGAGGTGTGAGTGGTGGCCACGGTGCGATCGGTGTCGAAATTATTAAACCAGGAACAAAATTGCGTGGAAATGCATGTGTGCAGGAACACCCATGTCCGCGTTTAGAGCGAGCAGCCCGTCGCCGTGTGTCTCCTACTGGAGAGAGTCTCCATCGCCAGCGACGCACGCCATCCGACAACGCGTCCAGTCGAGCAGAGATGCGCGGTCCCGTCTGGTGATCAACAGCACGTTATCCTCAACTAATGTCTGACTGTGTAACAAGACACACGGGGAAGAGTTGACTGCAGATCATGCTCACAGGTAGGCTGATATTCTTAAAGACACACACACACACACACACACACACACACACACACACACACACAGACACACACACAGACGCGCGCGTGCGACCAGACAGTGACAGCCTCCTGAAGGACTCGCCCAAATTGAGGTTACCAAAAAATGATTGAGTGCTTATAACATAATGCAAGCGAATTGAGTCTCCAGGTGCTGTAACAATGTGTTATTGCCCCGTTTTATTGCATTCCTGAATGTTAATCGATTATCTTGTAGGCATTGGTACATGTAAAAGTAAAATATAGTAATATAATCAAACGATTACAGCTTGTCCCTAATCCATAACAAAACGTATGATGATGTAAGACATATGTACTGAGTATAAACCATTTATTTTAAACAAAGCTGACAAGTAAGTGTGTCTGTTATTTGGTCGTAGTTATAGGATAGATCTGCTGTCTTTCAATGAACTACTATCATGTTAGACTACATATGGGTAATGCACGTCAGTTCTGGCATTGTTACTAGCACATTGTAATTAGGATGATTGACAGAGTGAAGGCACCTTACAATGACAATGGCCTACATTCTTAAACAGGACCTGACAGTATGACCAACAATAGGCGGCACAGTCAGCCAGTAACAGTAACCCTGGTATTCCCCGTATTATAGATCTACTAATTGTCCATTTGTCTATTTAAATACTTAGCAAAATAGCGAACAGGCTGCTGGACGTTAAATCAATTCAGTATTACATCTGCCAACACATCACTTACTGACCCCAACATAATTTGCATTGTATTTAAATTCAAATGGACAAAATCCCTAAATGGGAATTTTATTTTGAAAATATTCAAGTAAAAAGTGTAATTCATGACTTTGAAGGGATTTGTCAACAGAACTTAACAAAGGTTATTCAGAGGGTCGCTGCAAACGATGTGCTCGATAGTCGTTTTCACATCCTCAGTCAGGACCGTTAATGGACTTCAGAGAGCATCGAGCGGCGTGTGACGTTCAGAGTTAGCGTTAGCTAAAGTGAAACATGGAGCGAAATGTTGGGTCACTGCAGGAGCAGGCCATGAAGAGAAAGGAGAGGCTGAAAGCATTGCGAGATAAACAACTTTATGTAAGTGTTTACGGAGTTCTGATAAATGCAAAACGTCCAATGTCATAGCCTGTTTAGTTGGTGAGGGAGCGTTAGCGCACCAGCTAACAGCGTTAGCAAACGTATGCAGCTTAGTTAGCAAATCGATCGTAACTTTGTTTTGTGGTTGTTTTGACGTCGTATGTGGGTTTTGATATTGATTATAAATGTAATGTATTCCGTTTGTGGTCTTCTGGTTTGCCTGCGCATCTAATTTCCAAAGCTAACTTGCTTTATATATTTTCTCAATGATACAAATTCAAAGGAATTGTATCACTGAGGTGTCGATGGTGTCCAGCAATATACGTAGCTACGTCTTATAAAATGAGTTATAACTGTAAGTTACTGTAAGTTTTTAAGTGACACTCTAAGGAAACTCATACTGCTGGCTGAATATGATTCACCCAACGTGGTCGGAAAATACATGTGTTGTTACAATCCACCTGTTAGCTTTTAGACTGCAGAGAAATCCAGTAATCCAACAAAAGTCATCGTTTCAATTATCTCAGCAATGGAATAGAATCGCACATTTCTCTACGCTGCCGTTTTTTTAGTTGAGCAATTCATTTAATAGATGGGCCTCATTGTCTTGCTGACAAGCGGAGGCAAAGGATACAAGGTGGGTGCAGGAAAGAGAGCGTGTTAATGCTCCATGTGGAATAACACATTCTCCCTTAAATACCAGGAGGCATTCGGTCAAAAAGAGGACGTGTCGTTAGTTGAGTTATTTACTGCTGTTTTACTAAGAATTTCTACTGAAAGCTTGTTTCTGAAAAGTGTAACATCCATTTTTGTAATCTTTCATAAAGTAAAAAAAAAAAATTAACAGGTTTCTACAAATTGTTAACCATTAACATCTACAATATTAGAGAGTTGAAGAGAACAGTAGCTAAAGGCCACGTGGTTGTAAACCGGACTAGTGAAAACCCACCCATGATGATGGGGCAACCTTTGTTTAAGATGGAACTTTTAAAAGAGGATTAGAGTAAAGTGCTGTGGAAACTCTGTCGCACGAAGGGTGCAGTTTTAAACCTGTATGTGTAGAATCTCAAGTAGGATTCAAGCACAGCCAAATAACTGAAAAATAACCGCATATCCCTGTGACCGCTAACACTCACAGCGCTGTGGAATGTGAACTTCAGTGTGAGAGGGTTTTTTATCAGTTGGCCTAAATTTAACATGATTTGAGCAGAATGTTCCAGTCATCCGTACTGTCAAGTATCACCTTTTCTTCTTCACCCACACGTTGAGTTACTCTGCGCCTCGGCTGTGGCGATCTTTCAGTTCTCCAATAAGTATTCTTGCAATTGGAAACACTGTTCAATGTGAAAGACAACCGTTTTCCAGGAAGACAAGTGTTTAGCAATGGCCTGGGCTCGACCAACAATACGTGATGAATAACTGTTGACATTCCTGATGCTTGTCGCTGTTTTCATTTCGTGCAACACTACAAGATTGAGTCAGTCCCTTCAATTGTTTTAGCAGCGGGACAGGAAGCCTCTTCAGGAAAATGCAACCTGGGAGGGGTTTAATACCCTTTGTTATCGCTTCTCACCTAGGTTTGCAGAAATGCCAAATGAATCCTACTGCATCATTTATTTACCCATTATTTATTTGCATGATGATTTCAACAGGGGCAAGAGCAAGAAGACGGGGAGCCAGAGAACAAAAAACCCGCAGTAGAGGAGATTACAGAAGAAAGGCACAGGTTGGGTCACCACACTACTCTACACACTTAAATGGCTTCCGTTGTTGTTTCGTTAATCACATTTTTCACAAAAGCCATTTCTCATTCTCTTTCTTGCTCACCCCTGCTGCTGATTTTTTTTTTTAAAGCTGCTCAAACGGAACTGAAACTGATGTGGCAGCACACCATCAGAGCATTTATCTGCCCCATGTCTGATTACCATCTTCTTGTAAGACTGCGTCGCAGGTCATGAGATGCAGTGTTTACGCTGGGCCGGATCGCAGCCTCCTGCTATTAGCTGCTCAAATATCCTGCAGCTTACTCAACTTTGTGTGTCAGCCGGTTTGAAGGAGCAGCAATCTTTCCTGTCCTACGAGACCTCTTTTTCCATTGTTTATATTTAATGACGGCATCCGACAGGGAGTGCCGCTGTATTTCCTCCAGTCCAACAGGACAGATCTCTCTCGTCCGCTTGAAATGATTCATTTGGATATTTATTAATTCTTTGATTAATGTTTTGCTAAATCAAAATACACTTTTGTAGCAGGCTGTCGGTGTAAGGTACCTTATATTCCATAAGCTTAGATAGCTAAACCCAGGCGTGACTGAACACAACAATGAACACGTTTCCCATAAAGTTATTTCTACTCAAAAGAATGATACACAAGAAGACCGTAGTTTTTCAGCTTGTGTGTGCGTGTTATCACACATTCCCCGAAGCATCTTTCACAAATGACCACAAAGGGCACAACGCAGCTATTCCTGTTGCGTCTTGTTAGACGTCTTGTTTTTCAGGGATCCTGTTTTTAAATTTGAAGATAGACCGATAGGCAGGTTTGTCTTCTGAAGATTGTGGCGCTCTGAAGAACGGAGCGGGTTGCTTGATATCAGTGGAAATATTCAAACTCACTCCCCACTCTAAACATTTGGAGACCCACATGGGTCTTTGCTCTGAATTTATCACTTGCTGTCTTTGATGCCACATGTGTGCTTGAAGTGGAATTTTATAAACACACTTCAATGGTTTGGATGCATCAAACTAAGTTATACAGTGAAGAAAAAAAGTAAGTAAGAGTCGTGAGAAACGTGGCAGACGGAAAATGTACTGGTACAGTGTTTATACACCCTGTTTTTGGTGGTGATGGTGGTGGAAACCGTTTCAGTCTGTGTTGGACGTCAATGGTCGCCGTCAGATGAACAATTCGTTTTGAGTACCACTTCCACCATTCACAACAATGGGTCATAACAAATAAGCTGCAGTGTCCATTAGATGTACAGTCCTCAAATGATGTTTGTTTGGTTCAGCTTGGGACACATTATCCTTATGTTTGCACAACAACCTTTGACCTGTTTTTGTTTTTTTTCTTCATCTCCAAAAGTGAAGAGAAAGAGAATTCACTAAAACGTTAACTTGGTACACATTGCACTCAGACGATGAGACGTGTTTGGTGATATGCAATAGTAAATTATAGATAAGACTGTGCTTGGCACATTCATGCTTTCTGGAATGAACTCTTTAAACGTGTTGATAGAATTTGTGTCAACTTTATTTATTTCCGTTTGGTTTGATAAAAGACAGCCTGCAGTTAGTCCTGGATGGATGCCTTCTGGTTACTGGCTGTCAGGGCATCTGGACTTTGTAACACTGGCTGTTGAGCTTAGGTCGGCATAATTATTCAAATGTTTAATTTCATTTTTAGGCATTGTTTGACAACAAATTAATGCAATAAAAAGAAAAGAAAAGAGAGAAATAAATATTCATTAGATATGCCCAAACTGGAAAGCGATCTGATATTGAGCAGTATGAAGATGAAGTCATTGAATTCTTCGCTCATGAGAACGAAAATATGAAAGTTTATTTGATTTTTACTTATATATACTCGGTTGCCATCATTTTCATATCTGGTTTGATTTCAAGTAAATGACATGTCTAACCTATTTCCTATATTTTACAATTTAAGTACAAGAATTATATTTGAGATGTGTGGAAAAAAAAGAGCTGCCCTCCGTCAGCCAAAAGCAGAACATGACTAGCATTCCGGGCCGTTCCCTCACAAGGCACCGGTCTGTCTGTGGGCAGCAGGGGTTTGATGAATGGATCAAGAGTGTTCGAGCCTCATCACAAATCTATGTTAAGCTCCGGGCAGCTGGTTTACCTCCTCTTCTGACCTTACAAATGTGTAATCTGCAGAGCATTTCTCTGTAGAGATGTGATGAAAGACCACATAATTCAACACCGAGGCCGTCCGTTGCTCAGCTGTTTGCTGCTCTCTGCAAATCTGCCCCAAGGGGCAGGTGGAGCATAGTAATCAGACGTGCTCATAGAAATATAGAGGGACATTATATGTGCAACATATGTGCAGCTGTGAAGGGTTTGCAGACAGTCGTTTATGCTCCTTAATCTTGAAGGATTGTTTTTGTCTACACTGCCACCTCCTGGATGGATACATTATTGGGAGAAAAGTGAGAGAGAGCGTTGATGACTTAACGATTCTTCTACATTTCTGTCCTCAGAGAGCTGAAGCTGAGGAATTACACCCCCGAGGATGCAGAGCTGAAGGAGAGGCAGGTGCCCAAAGCAAAACCTGCATCAGGTGAGAACTCTGAAAATAACATGAACTCTTTGAGTACTGTAAATATCACATTGCCTCCAGGAATGTCACACAGTGAGCTGCTAATGTCCCATATTATTCTTTGTTTGCAGTGGAGGATAAAGTGAAAGACCAGTTAGAAGCAGCGAATCCAGAGCCCATCATTGAAGAAGTGGTGAGCACCTCTTTCTGTACAGACCTTCTTTTGTTGAAGAAGTAGTGCAGTTGCCTTATTCAGCTTTTGTCTTACTTCAGGATTTGGCCAACCTTGCCCCAAGAAAACCAGACTGGTAAGATGATTTTTGAAAATATACCTGTGTGGCCCATCAAGTCTTTGCACTATTAAAGGTGATTTGTTTCTGACGCTGTCTTTGTATTGTGATTCTGGATCCAGGGATCTGAAGCGGGATGTTGCAAAGAAGCTGGAGAAATTGGAGAGGAGAACGCAGAGAGCGATCGCTGAGCTCATCCGTTAGTATTTCCTATTTCATGTTCCAGTGTTTAGTCACAAACTGCTCCTGACCGCGGGGTGAAGCATGTCTGAGCAAGGCGGGAATTAATAGGCCAATTGCGCTAATTGCTTTGCGGATTCCAGAGCAATGAAGCCATCTGAATTCATCAATGATGCAACTCCTCCACTGATGTGTGAACCACATTCTAATAATAGGCACGCGCTTCCATGAAGAACACAGAACCGGTTAAAATGTGTTTTTTCCCTCCGCATCTTAATGTAGGACAGGTAGCGAGAGAGCAGGTAGCCATGCTGTGTACTCGCAATAACCAAACCAGTATGTTCATAGTTACACGTCACTTCTTTCAGGTGGGATTTTACCTTTCTGTGCAAACACAGAGAGCATTGCATTTAGATGTAAATCAAAAGATGGCAGTAGGCTGAATCAAGTGTTCTTGTTTAAATGTTCTCTGCATTGGGAGGATCTGCAGGCAGCAGAGTGTACTGTCTGTTGGTTGGTGCGCTCCCCTCGAAGAGGACTTTAACCAGAGCTACGGCCAAAATACAACAATTGCACATAAATGTAACTATTTATCTGGGAGTTACGGGAATCAGAGAATCTGATTGACCATGAGTGTTTTGTGTGTGCAGGGGATCGTCTGCGAGGCAGCGAGGAGGAGTTGGCTGCAGTGGTCGGAGCAGCAGGATTGGAGGAGGGAGACTCGGACTGAAACCAAAATGTGACAAGAGTAAAAAAAAAAAAAAAGTATTGTTTTCAGTTCCTTCACTTCCCCTTGTGAGTCCTTCCTCGTATCAACTGTGTACGTAGTGTTTTGATGTGCGTTGGTAATGGAATGTCTATTTTGCTGTAATTTTTACATTTTCAAGTAAAATAATGTGAGTTTTTCAAATGTCTGATAATTATTTTCAGTGGGCAATATGGATTCATTTCACTATCCTGCCATATGTGTTCAAATATTGTCCTATATGAAAAATACCTTCACACTTATTGGAAAATCATATAAAAGCATTTTATAAAATTTATATTTAAAATAAATGATTCCCTCTAGCAACTTATTTGCAAAATTGCTCAGAATTATCCCACACATTCAGCGATGTTTAGGGGATAGCTGCTGTGGTTACTTTCACGCATGAATATGAAGTGTTTTGCTGCTGAGCATCCAATAATAGACACCTGTTAAATACATATTTATTCTGAAAGTTGATTCTCTAAACATCATCGAGTGGCCCGTGTGCACTCATAGTTACTGCAACATCAATGTCTTGCTACTGTTGAATCAAGTTGGTTTTGATCCAACGGGATAAATAGAGCAGCAATGAACAGGTGGGACGCTTTTTGGTTTGACATTCACTAGTGATATCTATAGCAAGCACCTAAATATCTGTTATGAACTTGAATGTTCCTATTCCTTCACAATAAAGTGCATCGTCTGCCTATGTAGGCCCAAACTGTCCCCTCCATAACGGTATGGCACAGTTCATCATATTACCAATGAATCACACCAGGCCAGCTGCTTCTTCAAAAGCTTTCCTCTGTTCTTGAAAGGCGAATTATCAAGACTCAAGAGAAACAAACTCCGCTCATCTTAAATTCACCAAAACTACACATGTGACTTAAGTGTGGTTTGTATGATTAATAGTCAATACTTGCAAAACCGACACTTCTACACACAACAATCTTCAAAAATATACAACATTGGATATGAAGCTTACAAAGCACAGACATTTACAGCGAGATTATTAATACTGTAAAAACAAACTGATTTTGTGGCTTTAGACATTTGTTGAAGCAGTTTGAACATGATGCTCTAAATAGTTGTATAATTGGCAAAAAAAAAAAAGCTGATAAGATAAATCCTGGATTTTGGTGTTTAACAAAAAGGAAACTGATATTAAAGTTCAAGTTGGTGCTTGTTTTGGCAAATTAGGAGTGGAAGAATCAATGCTTCTGCATGCAGATCAGCTAATTCTAAAGGTTTATCACTTGTCAGAAGCAGAAAATGGCAACGAGGAGGCCTCCACACCCAACCTCAACAGGTCGGCAGAAGGATGGCGCGCAGGCCTCCATCGATTGAGCCCTAGAGCAGGATGGCGGTTGATGCTGTAGCGTTTTGATTGGTCAGGTGCACTCATGGCCACTGGTCAATGGGGAGAAGGAAGGGGCTGCATCGATGCTCTCAGTCGCACTGTCCTCCACCAGATTCTATCTTCCTGGCTGCAGGACCCAGTTCCACCTTGCACACCCTCTGGGCAAACTTCAGAGAGCACAGCGTCTCTCCCACGTTGCTCTCCAGAGCCGACACCTCCGGGAGGAAAACAAAATAACGGCTCATAACGTGCATCAACCAAGACTTCAAATTGTGTCATAACTGTAAATGTGTCATATATTTATACACGTCATATTCATGTATGCATTTAGATCACGGATCTCACCTGCACCACCATGACAGTCTTGCTGCCTTTGCCCAGGGAGTCTTGTAATAAGTACGTGAGACGGGAGTTCCTGAAGGGGATGTGAGTCTGCCGAGCTCTAAGCGCCTGTATAACGTCCCCCAGCGACAGAAGTGAGCGGTTGATGTTCTGGGCCTCTTTCAGCCTCTCTCCCTCTGCACCTGACTTCCATACCCTCTCCGAGCCAGCCAGGTCCACCAGGTTCAACTTGCCTGAGGAAAGAAAAGGGAAATAAAGGAAGACGGTCCTCTCTGGGTCCTGAGTAGAAGCTGCTCAGCGTCCCTTGGTGTATTCATCTTTGAAACACTTTCCCTGCAGCGGGGGGGGAGCGCATGTGTGACTGACCGGTGGTCTTGGAGCCGGTGGCGAGGTCGGTTCCCTGAACAGTGATGCAGAGCAGAGCATGCGAGCGGGAGCTATGCTGGTTCATCTGAGTGGCGAAGGTAATCCTGTTCCTTCGTGCTGTCGCCAAAATCTTAACAAAAACAAGAAGAATTCGGGGAAAAGATGACAATTTATTGTCACAGCTACACTTGGATGCATAATAATCAGCACGGATCGTTTAAAACACACTGTGTCACCTTCTTGATGTGCTGAAAGCTCTTAACTTCAATGAGCCTGAGGCCTGGCACATGCAGCTGTCCCGTTCCATCCGGGTTGATCTTAATGTCCAGTTTATCTCCGTCCTTACTCAGCAGGTCTCTGAGAAGCGCAATACACAGAAACAACAATAAAAAACAAGTCCTTTTTAGTTGGCCTGATGAATCTGCAGATCAAAAAGACGTGGCAAGGAAGGCGACGCACACTTTACCTGAGCACCTCGTTGTAGATCTCCACAGAGCTGACCGTGACCGCGTAAGACCACATGTCCTTCCTCTCCTCGATCTCACTGAAGAGATGTTTCAGGGCCCGCTGGTTGATGCCTGGGTTCTCAACACTGCCCTGGACATCCAATGATAGTTAGCCTGCAGCCTACACGGACCCAATACTTGTGCCGGTATGTTCAGTGGCCACAATATCTGATCGCTCCGACAATACCTCCATTGTGTGGGTTTTTCCAGAGCCAGTTTGTCCGTAGGCAAATATGCAGACGTGGTAGCCATCGATGCAGGACGTCACAAGAGGCTCAATCTCCTGGAAGACCTGAAGGACAAAAAAACAAAACGTTTTCGTTCTCGTTCTGATTATGTTTCCGGCAGGAGCTGTTCATCTTCATACCTCTTCCTGTGTGGCCTGCGGGTGGAAGACCTTGTCCAGTTCAAAGATGCGACTCTTCCCTTTGTTCAGCACATTGAGTGAGGACTCGTTGTTGTGGTCCGTTGTCACCACCACCGACTGGCCGTCCTCGCGCTGGTCCTCCTTCAGCACAGGCTTCACGCGACACAGCACGCGGATGTTTCCTACAAACGGGAGGTTGAGTTATTGATAAAGATCTTACTTTGTGTTTTTCCTCCTGTCTTCTCTCCGTACCCTTGAGCTCCACCAGCTGCTCGTGGTACTTCCTGCGCAGTGCGACCTCCTTCCTGTATTTCTCCAGGAGGTCTTTGTTGGCCTCAGACATCTCGCTGATAGCGGCTGAAATCTGAAAAAGATCAAATGCATTAAAACAGTTATTCACTAGTCGTGTTGAATCGGTTTGATTTATCACTCACTAAAGTGCATTGCGTTGGCATCAGGATGCGACTTCCTGCACTGACCTGTTTTTTGGCTTCACTGATAGCTGCTCCGTAAAAGTCTGAGAAGTTTCGAACCTGGCTTCTCAGACTGGTGTAGTCTGTTTTCATGGAGCGTAACGTCGGAGGGAGTGCAGTCAGACGCTTCTGCAGGCCTGACAAAAAAAATACATTGTGTGAATCAAACGCACATAGAGGAAAGTAAGAGAAAAGCAGTTGCTTAAAGGAATGAACGAGTAGTTTGGTATGCTGGGGAATGGAGTTATTGGCTACAGCAATTTCCCAAAACATGATTGATGATGATTTTTTTCTCACCAAAAAACTGGTCCTGCAAGTTTTGAAAGTGGTCGGCTGAGCAGGTGGCTGCAGCCCTCACGGCTTCCTCCTTTTTCTCCTCCAAGTGGCCGATCTCTCTCAGCAGCTCCTCTCTCAGTTTACTGATTTCTTGTTCGTACGCTGCAATCTGTAGAAGGTTGAGCACAGTTTGTGTATCTGTCAGCCTGACGGGTCTAATTCGTGCAGGCTCAGCTCTGTAATAACTTCATCTGTCAATGAAAGGGATCCAGGTTGGGAATTTCCGGCAAACGTCCTTCTTCTGCCTTGGATTTTCTCTACTTTCATAATTTATTCACAAAACTGCATGTTCACTGCTGTGGACTTTTACACACATTTGTCTTGCCTCCTGGTGGCAGCTGCCAGCAGCTAACAGTAATAAAACATGTACAAATAGTTATTATGAAGCACTATTACAAAAAGCCCAGCTTGCAATTCATCTCCAACGTGTTGCTACTTGAGACACGTTGAAAAAATGGTGTATCACAATTATCTAAAAGTAGATCCCCCCCAATTCGACCGTTTTAGACTGCATGTTAAAACCGGTTAAACATTAGTTTGATGGCTCCTGTTTGTTACCTTGTGCTGCAGATTACAGCTGTATTCATCAGACTTCCTGATGTGTTCTTCCAGCTGTTTGCACCGCTCAGTCTGATTGGACAGCTTACTGGACAGCAGCTCGTTCCTCTGTCTGGCTTTGCTCAGCTGCTTTAATGAGGCCGGGGATTCCACCTCCACAGTCTGGGTGACATACTGAGAGAAAAACAACATCTGAATGGGGGAATCTCTCTTAAAAAATGAAGAGGCCACGTCTACTTTGTTACAATTTTGATGGTAACGCACCTTCACCACTGGCTCCTTGCCTCGCTCCGTGTTCAACTCCAGCTGAAGCTCCCTCACTCGGTCCTCTCGCTTCCTCAGCTCTTCTCCTCTCCTCCACTCGCTTTGTTCGCTCTGTCGCTCCAGCTGGGACAGCTGTTCGGCACGCTGCTGCAGAGACATCTCCAGCTGCTGCACTCTGCTGCGGAGGTTTTCGTTCTCCTGGCCGAGCACACGAACAAACAAAGCGCAGTACCCGTCAAAGGTTTGCACCGGTCCGAACCATTAGACCGGTACTGGACATTTTGAAATATCTGCGCATGCGTTTACTGACGGCTGCCTGGGCGGTCTCAGCGGTGTCTCACCTTGATGAGCATGGTGCTGGACTGGGAGGGGATGGTGGACAGCTGCTGCAGGAGCCCCTGAGTTACGCTCAGGTTCTGCTTCAGACTCTCGTTCTCGGCTGACAGACACAGAACCCGCTTCTCTGAGTCTGTTGCCCCCTGAGGAGATGAAACGTGGGGTTCGGGATGACAAGGAGAGATGCATCAAAACCAGAGGTTCTCACCTGAGACGGATGTGTAATGTCACACATTATACAGTTAAAGCTTGTGATTTCATGGGGAGTTAGTGGGTAGATTTGCTGATGACGTAGAGCTGTGACAAACACGGATGACTCATCTTACGGTGGATGTTCTCAGTCTTGACAGCTCCTCCTCGCGCTCCTCTATGCAACTCTTGAGCTCGTCGATCTGTGCAAGGGTTCAAAGTGTAACAGAGGAAGCTTTTTTTTCAAATCAAATATATTTAGATTTCGGGTTGCATATTTTCCCTGGATAAATCATTTAGGATTTCATGATTTCATGAAGCCTACCTGCAGTTGAAAGGCCTGTATACGAGAGTGTCTGTCCTTTTCCTTCAGCTCCAGCTGTGAGTGCAGCAGACGGAGTTCTCCTCTCAGCTTACTCTTTTCACCCTGCAGACCGTGCAGAGACTCGACCAGCCTGTGAACCCCCGCTTGTGTCCCTGCTTCACTGCTGGACTCGCCTGGGGGGACATTAAACAAGCAGAATACAATCAGCTTCTGGATCATCACCATTACTGCTTCTTACCATATGGAGCCTGGAGCGAGGTGGGGTATTAATACGAAACAACCTCCTAAAACTCATCTTTTGTTCATCAGCAACCTCAGTGGCTTTCTTAATACTTTCCTTATCAATGACACATTTTGTTGAATGACAACAACATTCATTCACTAAAATCATATACTGACTAAAAGATGACAACACAGAGAGGATGCCCTAGCGGGGAGCATACTGCACATCCAAGAGGCATCACTTATGCCTGCAAGTTGCATCACAGTAAACAAACAAGCTGATCTGCCTTGTAACACTTGGGACATGAAATCTGGGCTATTTTTATCCAACACAAGTACACGTGGTGCCTGACATGTGCCAGACCTTGTAAGTGCTTTTGCAAGAACTAAAACAGCACTCTAAGCCATGTTTAATGCATGATAAAGAGCCACAGTAGAATCAATAGCCAAGCACCAAAGACCTGCGCCACAGAATAATGTATCTCTGTCATGTGAACAATGAGTGTCAATCCGCACGAGATCCTCTCCTTAAACACACTGAGATTCACCCAACCTTTTATCACACATATTTTGACACATAATGAAATATTTCTGAGGCCTCAGGGCAGGAATCCAAGCGGTCTACTACAGCTTCAACCACTTGTTAACACACTGTACCTATGCACTGAAAAGGGATGTAGAACTGTGACGTTGGTATCGCTGCCCTTCTGCTCCAATGCCAAAGAACCATCTGGTCAAATCGGAAACACAGCAGAAACCTTTGAAGTCAATCCCGGCTGTCGAGTGTTTGTCTGGTGTCTGGACCTACACCAATAGCCACATAAATCTAATCAGCCTGCTGCTCTGCTGATACATGCAAAGGTAAAATGGTATCAAGGGTGTTCCTGGCTGAAGGGAAAGCTAATGTAGGGTGAACCGACAATGGATAAACCAACTTTTGCTACACTGAAGGGAACTAAACCAGACACTGTTTTAAGAATCCCAATAATGGAAAATGAATGAGCTGTAAAATGACAGCACAACTATATTACATAACCTAGTGGCTATACACCTATTATGGCCAGTGTGTGGGATAGGCTTTCATTATTCATCGTCTTTTTAATCCATCAGATGATCTCATCCACACTGACGTCTCATTTTCCTTTAAAACCTCTACTCCGCAATGTCGTTTTCTGCTTCTACTTTCACAAAAAGCCATCCACTTGTCTCTGTGGTTATCCAAAACAGATTACCTCTACCTCCCCCTCTCTCGTCACCCTCACAGCCACCACATGGAAATGTCGACCCCATAACCTTCTTGCACTTTCATTTCAGCCTCCCCCACACCCCATCTTTTTCCTACTTCCCTCTCTCCCTCACCCTCGCTCAGCGGACTGGGTGTCGGCTGCTGGCCGAAGGCCTCCTCCAGGCTGCTGATGATGCTGCTCTTGTCCCGCAGGCGCTGGCGGTATGACACTCGCAGAGCTTTCATCTGCCGGCGGTGCTGGACGCGGTGTCTCTTCAGCTGCACCCGGTACTGGTCGACCTGCTGCTGCAGCTGCTGAAAGTGGGAGTACTGCTCCAGAAAACTCAGCAAGTGGGACATCACTGCCACCAGGGGAGAGTCTGTCAACTGGGCAACACAGAAGCACGCGCACATGCAAAGTTTAATGGAGCAGAAGCTCCTATTCGGGGAAGTGCTAATTAAAGTAACAAGTGAGCAGCCCAGTCAGCTTCACTACACCTTTCCCGTTGTTTCTGGGCGAACCTGGGAGGCCCTCCTCTTCTCAGCCTCCTGTTTGAAGGAAAGAAAGGCTGCCAGAGGAGTGCACGCTGAGATGTCCGGGCCTTCTTCCTCTCCTTCATCACTCAGAGACATTTCATCGCTGTCACTGCTGCTGCCTGGATGACCACAAATCCCAAAAACAAAGTAATAAGCAAGTAAAGGAATGTATGTGCTAAATAATCAATTAGTAAAACCTATCAATATAAATGTATAATGTTTCTATATCATTCCACAGCCTTTATGTTGGACTTGCACATAAAACCGATTTGAGCACTCACTGGATTCACCAAGCTGAACGCAAGCCTTCTTTCCCATTTTGGAGGTGTGGCCAGTTTTCCTTCTGCCCCCTGTTTCCATGGAAACAGGTATTTGCTCCTGAGCGTAGCAAGATACACGAGGGTCAGACAGTAATAGGCATAATATTTACACATTGCACGCATAGAAAGGGACACAAAAGAAAGAACAATTACACAACCGATTTTGTCATAATTTATAACACCAAAGCCTTTTTGTGTCAGGTGGTGGATGACGCATACATGTTCCCAGGACAAAATATTTATTCTGACATAGCTAGACCTACGTCTGAGGAAGATCCCTGCGCCCCCTCCAAAGCTTCATCCTCCTCCTCCTCCTTCTTAAAGACAGTGTAGAAAATGTAGACTAAGAGGGAGTAGAAGGCGTACATCTCTACGCCGTCAGAGTCGCCCTGTAAAAGACAGATTCACCCAATAATAAAATATGTATCTCTATCTTGCAGCAGAAAAGCATTCACAAGTATACTTATCACCCCGATAGAGAGAAACACTTAAGTCTTTTAAGACAATCAAAGGGTGCATGAATGTAAAAATTCGTCTCGACACATCAGGATTTCTCCAGAGGGACCACATTCTTTGTCTATTTTAGCTCAATGAATAATATTGAAATATTTGTATTATTTACCTTCTCTTCCTCTTTGACGGTGACAATCTGACGTCCAAACAATTTGTATTCCCCCTTCACACTCCATCTGTGTTGTCAATGACAAATCTTCCCATGCAGCCCTTTTGCCCAGAGCTGCAACAGCGTCCCAGCACTGTGTGCGTGACTCTCTCCTCTCCCCCGTTCTCTCTCCCCTCTCCTCCATCTACAAGCAGCGTCTGCGGCGAGCATGCTCAGTGCAGGTTCCTGACCGCTGCAGTGGAAGAGTGACGGATTTGGCATGGAAACTAATTGAACCAGGAGGGGGCTGCTATTGATTCCAGTAGCCAGATACAGAGGTGGATGAGATATACCAGGTTCTAGGTGCTTATAAAAATAATAAACTACGGCATAGTGCACTTGTTCTATACTCAAGCAATTTATTTTTTTAATAGTTTGCAAGTACAGTTCAAGGTGAAACATTTACATTTTGTATCAACCAAAAGCAAATCAATGACAATAAATGACACAAGACTGTTGTAAACTTCTGAAAAACCCTGTCCCACAGAATGGAACCCAGAAGAGATGCCTGTTTAATACACTGGGGTAAAACTGCTGAGGGAGCCAATCACAACTTTGAAATCCTGACAGAAAATCTGCAGTGCGCCTTCAGGTATCTGTAAAGAATGTTAATATTTTGCAAGGACAACATTGTGGACAAAGAGTTAAACATTTCTGTTAACATTGTGGCCACTAAAGACAGTAAGTAATACAAGCAGTGCCATAATAAGTATCAAATGAGGAGGAGGTGGCGAGAGCAGAGCCCACAGCTTCACTGCAGATAGCAATAGCGCTGAGGCTGCACAACAAATAGGAGCCATACTCTGAGGTAGCCAGATGTTTTTGGAACACTAAAACTATTCACGAGACATGTTGTTAGCTTAAAAATTATTATTAACGTTCTAGAATCTTAACAATTTTAGAAAACACACATAGAAAATGAAAATGCCCACATAGTGGCCACATCACATTGAAATGCAAAATAAATGTCATCAGCGCACTCATTATTTCTGAAAAGGTTATATCTGCATCCTTGTGACGCAGAATGTCACCACGCATTTCTCATGCAAATACATTTGTTCAGTGGTATCCGTCTAATTCTGTGCTTTTAGGTACAGTAAAACATCCAATTTGGGACTTAATTTGGGACATTCCATCTCCAATTGTCCTTTTCATTACAATTGTGACGTTTTGACTCTTCACTTTAAAACAGAAAGCATGATCCTGTATGAAAAGGAGTTATTGTCATTCCACACATTAAATCCATATGTAAAAGCCTATCATTTTGTAGTGCATGTGGACTCAAATTAACCAATAAATCAAGTCATATTGAAAGCAATCAGAAAGTATTAGCGGTGCCTGGAATATCCAGCCAAATTTGAAATATTTAAATAGCTTGTCTTAAACAATTGAGCTCATCAAGGCAAACTCCTAATGTTTGTTCTAATGACACTGGAAATACAAGTAATACGACTGAAAATTAAATTATTTTAAGTTAGGCATATTTATTTATGCGTCTATTTAGAAACACACAAAAGATCTCTACTGATTTACTGAAAGTCAATGTTATATTGGTCAGTGACATCTGACAGAAACCTGCTGAGGGCTCGTGTGGACACCCAACAGCCAACCGACATGGAGCCCTTCAACAGACCCTTGATGAGACCCTCAGTTGCAGCTGGATGGATGAGTGGAGCTAAAGTGTTTGTTCTGACATTTTGAGCCAAAAGCAACGGGAGGCTGAGGGCGACGCCGCCAAAGGCTCCTAAAGCATTACTGGCAAACAGACACACCGTCAGGCAGCAGGACAGGGAAGACAACCCGAGGCAACGCGTCATAAGCGTCAGAGCATCTGCTGACAGCCGGTCACTTAATCCCAGCAGCAGACAGGAACCACAGAGAAGAATGTATGCCGTGTTGTGGTCTTCGCTGAGCCAAAGGAAGTCAAAGGCGAACAGCACTGGGGCAAAAACTTCACCGGCCCACTCAGTTTCTCTCTTGATCGAGGCGAGGTATGGGCTGCAGGGAAGAACGATGCAAAGTGCTGCAGATAGTCCGAGCAGGAAGAGGCCTACTGAAGGAGCCCTGTGATCCTGCAGTGAGAGGAAAATGCAGAATGCAAAACTAAATAGTGAGAAATGTTACACGTGGATTTATTGATTTTCTATTTTATAACTAAAAATAACATTCCAAAGTCAAAATTGACATGGAAACAGCTTCTTTTTTTTCCAAAATCAAAAGATAACATTAATAAGAAAATCCTCACGTTTGAGAAACTGGAACCAAATATTGTTTGAGGCAATTTTGCTTGAATAAAACATAAAACTAAGAGTAATCATTTTCTAAATCAGCATGGATTTCTTATCTTTATTTTGACGAGTCTATTGATAAATCGAAGTCGGTTAGTAATTTGTAACATCCTCTACGCCGGTCCAATACTGAATGGCACCTACCTTAAAGAGTCTGTAGGAGGAGTAAAATGCTGTGGCAGACAAAATGATGTCGGAACAAGACGTTATTACGCACTCTGTTACAGGGAACGCCATCGCTGCTGAGGAGGATGTAAACATCCACGATATTGGCAACGTTACCGTTGCTAACGGCAACAGAGACGGTTGTTTCTATTGGATGTGTATTTAGTTAGTTAATGCAACTGTTGCATGCATCTGGTTATCGCATATTGTTTTATGAAGTCAGCTAATCATATTAGAGCACAAAGAGCCAAACTTTGGGCAGGAATACTGGGCAGGTTTGTTTGCACACGTGACAAGTCCGGATATCGCAAGTGCGCATGCTCCAAGAGATGCCTTCCCGGCCCCTCGTAAACTGTGTCACTGCACCAGCGGAAATATTCACCAAATGTACCACGGGCTAATACGGATTAATTGTAGTTTGGTGCATTACTCCTGTATTGATTTATATGGTTTTATTTTTTCTGAGGTCATTTAACCCTATTTTTGCAGAAAACTGTGCTCTACAAATTAATTTGAACTTAGCAGACGTTTATATAACCCATGTTATACATGTGTGTATTTCACAACTATCATTTGAAGTACTGCTCTAGCCAACACACGATGATGAGGCAAAACATATTTTAACATTATTAATTTTGTTGAAAAGAATTTTAATAATTATAATTTTGATGAACAGCCTTAACAGTTCAGCTTAATTTAAGGGATATCCATATCTAATAGTCGTATCTAATAGTATGCTACAAGATTTCAATTGAGCGTGATAACCCATCACCATTTTTACTACGCGGAAGTAACAGCAGTAAACCCGCAGTAATGCAGTAAAACGGCAGTAATGCAGGGAGATGTTTCTGATTTCTTCCGACAGTAACATTACCTGAAGGCAACTTCAGTTCGAAAAGTATGGCGGCGGAGTGTTTGACAACCATAACAGAGCAATGGATACGGGAGAAACTACAATTAAAACATCCATTTCTCGGTAATATTATGTCATGCTAATGGTCATGTTGTGCGGAAATAAATATAGTTTGACTTAAAGACTAAGCCGCGTGGTTTAGCTTATTTCGTCATATGAAAGAGAATTAGAGAGGCGAAGTTGGTTAACGGTACTTTTCCAAGCATTAGCATCGGCGGCTAAGCTAACGTAGCTAACATAGCATAGTTGACGTCAACGTCACTGGCGACGAACCACAGCATCAGCAGCGCTTTTCTCATTCAGACATTAAACTCGTTTAACAGGCGATGTCCGCTCACTGAGCCTCCCGGGAACGCACGAGGAGAAGATAAGACGTCTGGGAAACTCGCTGAATAACTTTATCCGACTCAAGTCTCTGGACCTCTCCTGCAATGCGTTGGTTTCCATTAAGGTAACGTTGGGCTTCAGCGCTGCGCCAAATCCTTAAATAGCTGAAAACTGTTCGTTGCTGCTCAATACGATCCCTCTGTAATGGAACTATGTTTACATGGGGAAACGGGCGAACATTTGTATTTCCTTTTTGTAATACGTGGTTGATAGGCCTTTTTAATGCTGTATGTTTTCCTCTGCAGGGGGTCCAACATTTGAAGGTGCTGGAGAGGCTGATCCTGTACTATAACTGCATACCTTCCCTCGAAGAGGTGAAAGTGCTGTTCGAGCTGTCGGCTTTGAGAGAGCTTGACCTGAGGCTCAACCCTCTGACCAAAAGGTACCCGGGGTACCGTCCCTGTCTGGTTCACGCCATGCCTAACCTACGCAAACTAGGTAAGGTACAGCCACGTGGCCCCTATCGTGCAAAGCTTTAAACATTACTATCTTAATTCTCCTCCCTTGGCTTCCAGATGGTTCTTCAGTCAGAGACAACGAGCGCAAAGCTGCCATAATGCAGTTCTCCTCTGACCATCTACCTCTGCAGAAGAGCTTGTGTTTGACTCGTGTCGCTGACCAAAGGTACGCTGGATGTCCCGACGCGTCGGTTTAGGTGTTTCCACTCATCTTTGACTTGATGGAGGAGTCTGCTGAGGTTCTTGACAAAATGAGAAATACAGAACTGATTTATGTTGTGTTTGTTGGGTCTTGAATAGTATAAAGAAGACACATCGTCCGTGGGAATGTTTGTATGAAGTTTGCGCCCCAAAAAACAGCGTTTTAAATACTACTAAGTTGAAGCAAGGCATCACCCTGTGAAAAGTGAAGCGAGGGAGGAAGTCCCTTAAACCTGAATTATTTCTATTGGCCATTATGCTGCTGCTAAACCAGGTTGCTGCTGCCAAAGCAGGTTGTCTTAAAGAAAATGGCTCTACCTCTCAACTGATTTTCTTTTTTTTTTAAACCCGCATTATAACCGAGAGTTTATAGTCAATCTCTATTTTCAAGTCTTCTGTAATACAACTTGATGTTTGTTAGAGTGAAATTGACGATAGAGCAGGTTGTGCTTTAGGTCTTGACTACCTTATGATTGACATTGACACATTGTGTCGGTGCTCTGTGTGTTTTCGTTTTTCAACTTCAACCCATTAAGTGTGTGTTCAGTTTATGAACGTTAATTGTAAACGTTGGGTTGCACAAAAATTTCTGCTTGCAGAAAAACCAGATGGCTAAGGCCGATATGCCAAACTCTATTCTTCAAAACCACCACTTAGTGACATAACCATGACTATGTTCATGCATTGTACTTGTAATTGTATTTAAAAAAAAAATATAGGGACAAAGTAATTCACTATCAAAATGAATTACTTTCCTACATGCTGGATTTGTATTTTCCTGTGTTGCTTGTTGGTTTCCAGAAGCTGTGATCAGAGAGTGGCCTTTGTTGACCCATTAACCAAGGGGCTCTCGCTCCTGACTGACACTGATGATGTTGTGTTGAATTTTGTTGGGATTAATCCTAGAGACCAAAGTGCAACTCAGGCCCAATCGGTTCCCAAAGAGGCAACAGGTGAGATGTGGAATTCTAAAAGCTAATTGTCAAAAACAAAACCAGAATAATATAGTTTCGTTATTAAACGTGTATTAATTGCGAACTGTCTTCTGTTGTCCCGAAGAGGATGAATCCAACGACTTTACAGAACAGAGGAGTTCTACTCCAAAACAGGTGCTTTTTATTTCACTCTGAAAAATCACTTACACATTAACATTATCATGTATACTGATTTCATGCCTCTTGTTTTATTAGGAAACTGCTAAATCCATCCTTAGGTATCCTAGCACCAAATATGGTAAGTTTTTGCACCTCTCTTTACAGAGAATCAATTTGAAACGTGTATATTGGTTTATTTAGAAGATGAAGACTAGAGTTTTACAACAGTTGCAATGATGGGGATCACGCTTTGTGGTTCAATGGTAATTGTTTCCTCTTAAGTCAAAGCTTTATGTGGATTAACAAAATGTTCCAAAAGCAATTAATCAAAAACTGGCCATTTTAAAACTACTCAAAATGTGTCATTTTATTTTGGAGACCTGAATAGGTAACAGGGGGCTGGGTGATCGTAGGATGAAACACTTTATTTGGAAATTGAAATAATTTAAGGGAGCAACATAAATTGACCATTGTCCTGTTTTATCCACCAGGTGGAGACAGAAGACAATTATCTCCACTGAACTATCAAAGGTGAATTAGTATTAGTGATTTATTATGTCATTTGTGATTTGAACAGATATCGCAATGTACAAAGTGCCACACGTGAAAGAACCATCTCATAAAAGGAGCCCTACCTCGTTAGAAGTCACTGAAAGACCAAAGGTGTCCTTTGGCCCCTATGTAGAGAAACGCAGACCTGTGGCGGGGAAACTAAAGCAAAATGAGCTCCCCAAACCAACCCGACAGACAGCCAAGGGGCATTACACCCCTAATCCTGGTGAGAATAATAGCTGTAGTAATATACATCCACAAGTACACTTTCTTGGCATGTTGTTTAATGTTTTTTTTTTTTTTTTCTCAATATTATTTTCCAGATCAAAGTCATGGTCATAGTTCCACATTAGTTAACATCCGGCCTCCCAGTCCGCGTTGTCCTGGTTTGAATTCGTCTGACCTCTTAAACCCCATCTTGCATCCGCCAAGACTGACCTCCTCCAGCGTAAACAAGACTGAAGGGGGGTCCGGCCAGCAAGGGGAAAAGAAAAAAAGGGTGGGGAGTGAATTCGGGCTAATTACTATTTGCCATTTTGAATCATTACTACTTTGTTCCCACCACTTGTTCACGTCCTATTGAAGGTTGTTTTTTCTCAAATTAACTAATTTCTTCTCTTATCTTTCAGGGTAGTTATAGGAAACCCCTGGAGATGCTCCTCAACCTCGTGGACAAACACTGGACCGGAGAGAGGTCATTGCATCACAACAACAACTTCCTGTGTGAGTTGGGAGTTCGGTTTGGGGGATGTGGTATCTGATGGTATCTGATTACAGGAACTCGAACAAAATGTCTGTCTTCATCATTTGTATTTTTGGCTTTAGCTCAGGCTGTCCAGATCCTCTCCATGATGGAAAGTGATATTTCCAGTCGGGAGGCTGAGGTCAGGACCTTACGAGGGGAAACCGATGCCCTGAGCGCTCAAGCGGCAGCACGAGAGGAAGAGCACAGAAGTGAAGTGCGTGGCCTCTCTGCTCAGCTGGAGAAGGCCTGCAGTGGTGCTGTGAGTGGAATCGGCGCGAGAGCAGGATGTGGATCTTCAGTTGGTGTTGCCTTGGTGTTTTTGGAAGAGCGCACTGTATTTATTGTGTTTTCTCTACTCAGGGCAAACTAAATGAGCAGCTGAAGATTGTCTTGGAGGAAAATGTCGCTTTACAGAAACAGCTTATCAAACTAGAACGACAGTATCTTAAGTCTATGATGAGAAGTTCACCAATTACTCAGATAAAAGGTGAGTGTGAATGCTAAAGGAAGACATTAGTACAGTGTCTTGCAGTGTTAACCCCTCTTGCTGCTTTTCTTAATCTGTTGAATCACAACCTCGAATTTAAATGGATTTAACGGTAAAGTAAAAATTTTGTGGAAAAAAAGTTGTTTTTAAGTAAAAAACTGAAAAGTTGTATTCAACCTCTTTTGCCTGTGAAGTCCTCAAATAAGATCTACTACTACACCTTTTCTGAGGAGGGACTTTATAGCAAAGGGAATGAGTTTATGAACGTAGCGCATTACATTTTCCCGGTTGTAATGCAACAATAAATTAATATTTTTTTCAAGGCACTGAACCAGTGATCATTCTTCTGTTTTCATTACAAAACCCCCTCATTATTGTTCCTATACGTTTTTAGCGGCTCAAACGGAAGTGGAGGAGCTGAGAAAAGAGATTGAGGGGTTGAGGCTGAAGGTGCACGAGGCCGAGAAAGTCAAAGATTTGTCAAATATGCTGCAAGAAAGCCACAGGTAAGTTGGTTTTGGTTTCGCTGTGTCAACACAACCACAACGGTGATGTTCTCACACTCAAACCAGCCCTACTTTGTCGTTTGTGTCTGCGAATGTGCTGCAGGTCCCTGGTGGCCACCAACGAGTGTTTGCTCGCTGAGCTGAAGGGAAGTGGGGAACTTTAAAGAGTGATTTGAACGAAAAGATTCACAATGGGATGAAAATATCAAAGCAAGACGTCCTCTTTGCATTGCTTCTGCTGCGTGAGGCCCGGCAGCTACCGACTGTTTTAAATCATGTTTTACTTCATACAACTGCAGTGAACATTTATGTGTGAATGAGTATTCCTTACCTTTTGGTAACTGTTGCATTAGGGTTAGAGAACAAAAGTAAATGAATCCGTAAAGGCCGCGTTGGCCTTCTGGGATGTTTGTGTAAGTGTGTGACTGCTGTTGTGTTAAATATATTTACGGGGGAAAATGTTAGCGAGAAGGTCATAATGTATTTCTTGGATCGGTGGCAAGATCGTATCTCTCTTAGCTGCTTTCCTGTGTTTTTTTTTTCTTTTTAGGTCACTTGTGTTTCCATCTGCTTTGTATGCTGCAGTGGAATGAATGCATCTCGATTCTAGCTGCACTGTGACTTTATTTATACCTCTGCCTTCAGGGCTGGAGAGCTACACACACACACACTGATGGACTTCCCTCTCTCCAACACTAATGCAAGAACTGGCAAATGTGGATGTTATTACATGACCTGAGCGAAGCTTTTGTTTAATGTGTACGCTAAGGTCAATGGTCGTCGTCGCTGCTGATGGGAGTTGCGATGTGTTCTCCAAAGAACCATAAGAATATAAAAACTTGTGTTTTTGACTGACACCCGGTTACCGACTAAGCGGATGTTCTGGGTGTGTTTTATTTTTATTTTAAGTAATGCATTACAAATCATGAACACGCATTAAGAAGTCTAAAGAACAAAAACACACTGCATGCACAAGGGCACAATAGTACATTAAAAGTTATTGAAAGATAAGACAATATTGTTCCTCCACATTAAAGGTGCATGTATTTGGCATTCAGCACAGAAAACAGATCAGGCTACTGCAGCAGACAAAACAAACGCACTAATAGCTGCTATATTTGCATGACGCACGATTCGTCATCAGCTGAGGCTACAGGTAGTGTGTGACGCAAACAGTCACTGTTGGAAAAATATTCTACAAAATTGTATTACTTGTTTGCAAAATGTTCCCTTTTATCTGATACAGGTGTGACTACAACATTTAAAAAACCCGCTTTTGTTTGCTTTACAGGACGGTACTACACCTACAATGTACTCCAAATCTTTACCCATAGACAAATATAAGATTGGAGCATAGCTGACTTTGTATGTACAAGTTGGTACATATTGATTACAAGCAAACAAGATTTTATCATTATCCCACAAATTGATCACACTGTATTTTAATATAAATTATTTCTGCCCAGTAGTTTGTACTCATAGCAGTTCAGATATGACACACTCCTGTCATCTATATGCTTCTGAATCAAATGCAATATACATAAACATGCACAGAGTACAGCAATACAGAAAAACCACATAGGAAGCCAGTGTTATAAATTATGCCATGTGGCTATAACCACAAATATATTAGAACTACTGTATAGAAATCTGATGAGGAAATATAAGTAAAATGTTAAAAATACAATCTTAAAAACCTAAGCTCTCACGTTGTAGTTTGATTTAAACAATTTAAAATGTAAAAACATGTTGGAAAAATGGTTTTGAGAGAAAATAGATTATCCTATTGTTTGTTTTGTTGAAGTGTAAGCAGCCACGTTTGAAAGTGGGGTTCTCATGTGTTTGTTACATATTCAAAAAAGTACAGTTTTCAAAACCCTTTGAAACAAACTGACAAAACCCTTTCATATATATTTTCTTGGTTTGACCTGAATGCAAATTATTCAGTCGATAGTGAGACTAAAAAATAAAATGAACAGCAGATTTCCTAAAGAGTTAGGTTCACTAGTAGGGATGGCAGACAGACAATTAACACAGAAGTTGGACACATCGTTCAAAAGACTAAGCATTAACAATACAGTATTTAAAAAAAAGCTAATTCTTACTTAAACTCAAAGGAAAAATACATTTCCCCAACTGCGTACAGGATTAGAAAAAGAACTCAATTGGAAAGTGCAATGTTGTTAACTTTTGTGCCACTTGTTTTTCTTGGCATGTTGTTCATTGTGCTCAATAAATATAAGGCCCGATCGTAACAACAAAGCGTCAGTATTCATGGCATAGCGGTTTTCTCTCGTGTTCTCTTCAGTGTTTGGCAGTAACTTGCATTCAGACAGGAATGTACCAGCTGGTGACGACTTGGTAAAAATAGATGTAAACAGTTTTCCAGTTCTCACACTTCTCAAAGAGAGGAACTCTAAAGCATCTCTCTCTCACACACACACACAGACACACACAGACACAACATAGATGGGTTGAAATATATAAGAAATTCTATTCTTTTGTGCTTTCTTTGATTATTAATTTACTAGAAAATGACCCTAGGAGTTGATCAAATGTTCGTTTCCTCACATGGGTTTGCCATCTGTAGGTTTATTCACTTTCTTTTCGTAGGACCCTCGATGTTTGTACCCCGAGACGTATCCCGAAGTGTCAACCATGTCCACTCGTCCCGCCTTACCCTTCCCACGCCCGGTGTTATCAAAGCGCTCCTTGTGTGACCCGGTGAACTTGGTCGGGTCCGTCAGGCGGCTCACTGTCGGGGAAGCCACGGCTCGCTGCGAGGAAGTCCACAAAACATTAGAGCTTATTCTGGGGTGCGTGTGTGGGTATGAAAGTGATATTTAAGCTCAGTCAGTGATATTTAAGCTCTGAGTCTTACCGTAACTCCTGCGATGACAGGCGCTTTCCCCTCGATCAGCTGGAAGACCTCGGCCTCGGCCTCCTCCCCGGGCTTTTCTTTGTATTTTTTCCTGGCCAGCTCTCCGAGTGCGACCTTGAACTCATCGTATGTGATGGTGCGACAGGATTTCTTCCTGAAATGTAGTCGGAAAACCTGCTTTACACACTTAATATTGCATAAAAAACCCCAAATCACCTCGACTGTGTCTCTAGGGCACATATGTCAAAGCCCGCCAGGACGTCCAGTGCAGTGAGTTTGACGGCCCCGCTATAGGGAAAGAAATGCCGGTATTTAGGCTCATTGTACCGACTTGTCTGCAGCCGGTCAGAGTGTGAAAGCTTAAAATGAGAGCGCAAAGAAGTTTACACAAAGCCATGTGTGATCACTTCAACATGGCAGATGTAAGACACGGCATGGAGACGGTGTCCTGCTGAGGTAAACATTGAGAAACCGCTCACTGTTTGGATCTGGTCTCCCTGTACTTCACTGTTGTCTGAGCAACCGCACAAACTCGTACACACAGACACACACCTGTAGGCTGTATATGTGACTATCTTCATATCATGTTTCGCAATGGGTGCAGCTGTATAGTTCAGCTGCTGTGGTCAGCAGCCATAGCAGTGTTTTTCCAGCGGGGGACTTTGACACCTGCTGAATCCCTACATTCCCACTTATAGGATCAAACTATTAACCATACTAGACCACAGATCGTCATCATCAATCATTTTCCTTCCGAGCGGGGCCCAGTTGTTTCAAGTGGCCATTTTCACTTCCATGCAAAAAGTGCATAGTAACACAAACACAAACAGACATTGCCACGGTTATAAATCACCTAAACAACGGCCCATAAAGCCTGCACTCCTCCTAGGCAACCTGCCGTCATAGCAACCAGCCACAGTAAACAGGGATGTTTGGGTTTATTATTAATTTGACTTCCAGTGAGAGGTTTTGTTTGGGCGATCCATCAGCGTTGAACATTTGAGAGCTCCATTCCTTTGCGCCTGTTCCATGCTGTCTTTTGTCAGAAGGGAAACTGGAGTTGGAGCTGCTGTTTCTGTCAGGGGAAGATAGCCGTGTGTCAGATGTCCCCAAACTGAGACATTGACATCTCCAAAGCATGACGGATTAAGCTGTGTAAATAAACAGCCGATTCCGAGGAGGCTGCAAGAATGTTGTGGAGGACGACGGTTAGAGGGCAAGTTGGCGCTTGTTTTATATACTGCGGTAGCTGCCTTACTGTTCATTACAGTTCAACCATCAGCAGTGGATGATCCATATCGATTTAACGCAACACAAGCGGTCTAAATCTGGTTCATGCTAAGATGCGCCTTCAGCGCCTACATCCATGGTCAGTGATAAGGAAACATATTTTTGAAGCCTAGCAAATGAAGCCGCCATGAGAGCATGCAAGTTACTAATTAGTCCACACCAGATTTCCACCTCATCCATAGATCACGCTGTGGTGTCCAGCAAAAGCCAAGAGTCGATGTGCTGCAGCAGACCTCCATACCCGCAATAAATACGGACTCATTCGGACGTGCCGTTATTACCCAGAGCTCATTAAGATGGTAGATTTTCCGTGTGCAAGCAGAGGGCTTTAAAACTGATTAAAGGGAAAGTGGAGATCTGCATCTTTGGCGTGGCAGCCTGTCCGGCTCACTCCTGCCTGGAGTCAGAAACCACATCTGAACGAAGCACCCCCCCCCCCCCCCCCTCCTCCCTTCCTCCCTCGGTATGTACCTCTTTTTCCCCCTGGGGCTGACTAAAGGGTTCGCACGCCACATGCTCTTTTTTGGATTCCACACGCACAATTCTCCTTCACACAGCCGTGATTTAATATGGGGGAATCACATCGGGGCGTTTAAAGTACACAACATTGCTCAATTTGACCACGTTTCTAAATATTGCTCTCTGATGGACTGTGATGTAAACAAGCTTAAATCCCGCAGTAAGTTTTAAGTTCCCTCTACTATTGCAGAGAGAAATATTCACAGGGGCAAACATAAACCCGGGGGATTAACAAATTCATTTCATAGTGTCCATCCATCCATTGTCAAACCGCTTATCCTGCACACAGGGTCGCGGGGGGGCTGGAGTCCATCCCAGCCAACTTCGGGCGATAGACAGGGTACATCCTGGATTGGTCGCCAGCCAATCGCAGGGCTACACAGAGACACACAACCATTCACACTCACATTCACACATCTACGGGCAATTTAGAGTCCCCAATTAACCTGATCCCCAGAGCATGTCTTTGGACTGTGGGAGGAAGCCGGAGAACCCGGAGAGAACCCACGCAGACACGGGGAGAACATGCAGACTCCACACAGAAAGGCCACTGGGCGGAATCGAACCCAGGACCTTCTTGCTGTGAGGCAACAGTGCTAACCACCACGCCACCGTGCCGCACACATTTCATAGTGTGACAATTTATTTTATATAATAATGGTGATGATTACCAGACAACAGCCTTATGAGGAAAAACCTTTTTATCGTTTGTCAATATGTTAACAGCCCAAATACATTCTGTATTCACTACACGCAAAGCGGTACAGATGAAGTCACAAATCATCATTAGATTCTACTTTGGTTAAACAAAGTCGTAAAGAATGAATCAAGCGAGCCTCGGGAGATGCAGGATGAGCCATCCTGGCCTTTTTCTCTGACTGCTGCTTCAGAGCTGACTTAATAAACAAAGCATCCCCCAAACAATGCCTGAAAACATGGAATGAAGTAACAACAAAACATGTGCCTCACAGTTGTTCCTATAAAGCCAAGGCCAATTTCTGTAGTATTTTCTCAATTAAGTATTATTAATACGTTCTGTGAACAGCAATGAATAGAAATATTACATTGCAGTACGGAGATGTTTTTTCTCAGTAATGGAACCATGTTTGCACCCCTTGGGGCACTTGTGACTACGCCTGCACACATCTCCGCCTCAGCAATAGTAAAGTAACGGTGTAGTAAAAGAATCTAAATCAAATGTTGGCAACAGACCTTCAGCCAATGGAAGGCAGCTTCAATATGCTCAAATAAGCAATATTCTCTTTCTTACTTGACTTTGCTGAACACGATGTCAACGTCAGTGAGGGTGATGTTCTTGCCGTCAATCACGCCACAGTCCTTGCAGAGCTTGGACCAGTTCTTGCCGTGCATGTCCTTGCCGGTGGCGCGAGTGTCACCGTGGATGGCGAAGCGGCGAAAGGACTCTTCCAAAGCGGTCACCTCCACTGGTGTGGACGAGCCGGCGCCGCCTTCACTGGTCCCGTTGGACTCAGTCGAAAGCCTTTTGGAGAGCCGGTCTTTAGACTGTTCGCTGTGCGGCCGTAAAGGGGCCGAGGCCATGTTAGGATGTTTGGCTGTCTGGACTTTAAAGTCATCCGAGTTGACTCTGAGGAAGGGAAGGGAAGGGAAGGGGGGTGGGGATTACATCAACTACATGATCTAAGACATGGCAGTTCTCAGTTAATGTGATATAATGGAAAAGGGTGCAAACACTGAAGCCAGTCACACATAAGATCCTATTTATTGGCTTTATGGTTAATAGAGTTGATCACAATCGACAGATTCAAGAAATAAACTACTGCAGGACAGTATTAAGAGTGTGCCAGGCCGTAAGGTCAGAATGCAGCATGTCTCTCTTTTTGTAACGTACTTCTGGTACATTACACTGTCTAGAGGTGTGTCTCTGTGCTCACGCAGCCTGTGAATCAGATGATGTCTGGCATGTTCTACTGCAGAGGTGAAGGATAGAACTAGATCTCCGTGGAGTTCAAAAGGTGCACAAATGAAGAAGCAGGAGAGACGGATATTTGGACCAACACACTGAAATGCGAGGTGAAGGCCGATGACGTGACTTCTCAAACTTACTTGTGGTCTGCCATGCTCGTGCTGGAATTTGTTTCCTTCTGTGCGGTGCTTGGATTTGCTGACTTCTGTTTTCTCTTTGTGCTGTGGAAAAGATGAAAATGGAGGTGAATGGAGGATGTGTCTGCAGATATGTGCATGCAAGAGAGTTGAACAGATGAAACAAACATAACCCAAGGAAATTAATACAGCTCAACAAAAGGTACAACATCCCACTCGCATGCGTGTCCCTCTTTAATCATGCTCCAATAAAAACACAATTATTCACGACATGATGTCACCCACGGACTAAACTGTGTTTAAAAAAAACTCCGTCCGAATGAAGTGACCAATAACCACAGAAAAGGTTCAAGGTCCAAATCCTCATCATTAACTCAAATTACCCCCAATAAATTGTCCGTTTTTAATCTATTGTTTGTTTTGACAGATTAGAGGTTGGATTTGATCCCTACGCAACATTTACGTTGTGGCTTTCCTCGCTTTCTTAAGATTATATAATTCAGTCTGAATTAAGGAATTCCTATCCAAACACATCATCATGCCTACTTGCATTTTTTTTTTGTATAGAACAGCCGCTTTTCACCATCCACTCACACTGAAACCTCAAGTGAAGTGCTTGCATCAGTAATCAGAAACATTACCGCCGTAATAAATAGCAAAAAAGTCCATCCTCTATTATTAATAAGAAAATGTAATCCAGAACTATATTTAAAGCAAGCAATGGTGCTTTGCTCACCTTCCAGCTGTTCCCATACTCAACTCAGCATTCTTAAAGGACTTGTGTTGCCATGGCGAAGTACACCGTCCTCAACGAAAAACCAGTAGCTCCATTCACTTCCATTAAAACTAGACACAAGCAAGATGCAAACTGGAGAGAAGAGAAACTTTCACTCAACCCCGAGTGGCACCGTGTAAAGCGAAGGGTTTGGCCAATTACACAAACGTGACCTCGCTAAGTGCGTATGACGCGAGATTGTGTACTAAGGGTCCGAGGTTGACACAGCATAAAGCCATTATAGTCAGGATGTCAATCCTTAGAGGGAGAAAAGGAGATTATTAATGTCTATGAATAATGGCATTCACAGCAACAGGCACTGGGAACCCATTGTCCCATGCTGGAGGCTTCTCTGTCTGACCCGATATGCCCATTTCTTCACACATGCATGGTGACATCGCAGACTACCACTATTGATGGAAGTCATATGTCATCGAGGACTCAGGCTGGACAATCCAAATAGTTATTGAGGTTGTTCAATCATCAGTGTTTTATTTAACTAGTATACATACCATTGAAACGGTGCACTTAAAACCTGGTTATGTAACATCATTATTTAAAAAATACTATGACCGATATTTTCCTCGGCCAATCATTTTAACAGTAAATTAATTTAGGCATTTAACACTAATTTAAATAAAACATTGCTTTACATGCGAAATAAGAAAAAAATAGCGGGGAGCCAAGTGCTTTCAAATCAACGCAACTTAGGTGTATCTAAATAAATAATTAAGTATTAAATCAAATTCATATTATTCTTTTCGCTCAAACATTTACTATTTAAGGTCAATATACATCTTAATGTCTTTACTGTGCTTTTTGTGTACAACAAACAGCCCAATACCCAAAACAAATTCAACTTACAAACAATATTCAATTTTAAATAACATAAAACTACAAATCAATCCCATGAAAATTATCCCATGTGATGATGGAACCGGAAACCACATTTGTGGAATCTTTGCCTGATAGAATATTAATTAAAAGACAGTTTAATTAATAATACAAATCGTTATGCTGATAAAATGAATTTTTAATCAAATCACACTATAATATGTTCATGTAGGAGATTTAATGATTTATAATTGATAGCATTACACCATAATAAAAAATAGGAACTTACTTGCACTGTGTTTTCTTTTGTGCCTAAATGACAGCGGCAACATCACTGGGAAACAAAGGAATCTTTTCACTCTCTCTACTCCTCCAATTTACAGTCAGTAGTTTCAAGAGTCCAAGTCCTCAGTACAAGAAGCCTCCTCGAACCACATCATGTTCAATGCATGAACGAGAGGTCATTAACACTGTTCAGTGGCCTGAACACACAGCACTACATTTCCTTCCATCTCGCTATGATCGAATATAAATACAATATAAACTGTATGGAGTATCGACTATTTGGAGCCGTGAAGCTTTACTTCCACAATACAGTGTTCTTGGTCAGTGTCCTACTCTGATATGTATATATTTTTAAAGGAGACCAGTACAACCATCGTAGTGGCAGAGTGGCTTTTTTTTTTCCTGCCCCACTTTACCGCACACACACACATGAGAAGCCATTTGGTTAAGGGCAAATCTCCAGAGACAAATCTGTAACTGGATGACAGCATGCTTACATACACTCGCCTTCTGGCAACACACTACACAGATGAGTGCTTTAACCATAAATTGACCCATTTTTAACTACATCTATTCATAGCAACAATACGCTGCCTTGGCTGGAACATTCTATTCATTCTCAGGGGAGGAGATCAGCCGGTAGACAACATGCAGGCTGAAGTACCCGAAAAACAAAGCAGTTTTTCAACTGTTAGTTCAGCAGATGGTGGTTTTCTTTTCACAACATGATGACAGAGTTGTCAGTGTGATGTGCGCGCGCGAGAAGAGAGTTTGACAGACGCCTACTCGTCCATCGTGGTTCGTGGCGATGGAGCTTTCTATCTAGATCAGTGTCCTTTCCAGGCAGCTGCTCAGGAGTGTGTCCTGTCAGCCAATCAAAACGTAACACAGGAACCATCATTACAGCAATGAAGCCCTCAGTGTCCTGGACACACACATACCTGACTCAAAACTACAGTGCTCAGCTGTTAACGGAACATTTGGCTATTTATCCAATTAAAAGGAGAAACAGTGACACCTTTTTTTTTTTTTTTATATCTGCACCGTCAGTATGAACCAATGGGTGCGTGGCACAAACAGCTCGGCTAAAATACGGAAGCCCCGTCCTTCAACATGGTCTGTTTCAGGCACCATTAATTATAACCTCTCAGCCATTTCCCAGTTGGGGGACAGTCCCCCCCCCCCCCCCCCCTCCCTAACTCGACCCCTCATAGACATAAGGAGAGCGCCGATGACATCAGCACGCTGCAGACCGGGTCTGAGGTCACCACCACGCTGTCTCTGTTCAGTCCTCGCCTCCCTGAGCCCTACAACTGCTCGGTGAGTCAAAGATGTTGGCCAGCATTGTGCAGTAGAGGGGAGGGGGGGGGAGGTGTTTGAAACAAGCAGCTACAGTGGTTATTGTTGGCAGCGGCAGCAAGAAGCCAAATAGAGGTATAAGGCGGTGTAACGACAGCTACAGGGTCTTTATGCAACCCTGCATCTGAGAAATAGATGAGGCCATAAACAACACAAGTGTCCCTGACGTAGCTCAGATGGAGAGAGGACGGGTGATCCAGCAGTAGCTTACCTCTGAGGCAAACTGTGTTGTATAATTTCTCTCTTAGTAATCACGCAAATTCATTTTAAAGTCTTCCATGTTGTGTATTTTACAACAATATCTTCTCCAGCAGCCCCACACACTGAACACAGTCAAAGACACAATGGAATCTCTACCAATTTGCCTTTATGTGCAGTGAAAATAAATTCTGTCAGATGGCAGATCCCCTTTATTTTGAAAACCTGACCTGAATTTGAGTCACCGTTAATAAAAGAGGGTAATTTACACTGAGAGGAATTGTTTGTGACAGAACCCACAGGCTCTTTGACAATGCAATGAATCCTATGACAGAGAAATCTGGGACAAAGTCAGTGACTGTTTTTTCTACTCATGCGTATATAATTGAGCACATGAGGGATGCTGTTACAAAAACCGTTATCCACATATGTGTACATGTCATTGGAAGGCCCCTCGCTGTTTATCTCCCCGATCCGCCATTGACATTCACTCGTTTTTTCTTGCAAAATTATGTAACTACCTACACATGTAAAGCCAGCAGCTCGGTATGAAAGCTGCAGCCACAAATGCATCAGTCATTCTTTCTGACAGGTAACGGTACTCATGGGAGAAGCCTCAATTCGCTCTGGCTCTCATTGAGTCCACTTTAAAAAAGAAACATCTCGTGTTTATCTTACATGGCTGCAGCGGCGTCGGTGCGAGGCATGTTACATAAACTTGCAAATGCCAGATTCGCCGATCACGTGATCGGGTTGTTATTGTGATCCTCGGTGGGCGTCTGCCAACGCGGGACAAGGCATTGCGGGGACAATAACGCTTCAAATCCGAGTCCCCTGTGGGCAGCGCATGCTGCCACAGGTCCCCGCGGGCTTTAAACGCGCACGATGACGGCAACACAGCGGCACGCAGGGAGCATGCAAAGACACGACATTCGCAAATTCAAATTTCGAATCACCTGTCGACGTGATCCCCCTCTTCCTCCTCCTCCTCCTCTTCCTCCTGCTTGCTTAAATTCAAAAAAGCGTGATGGCGCCGCGGAGTCCCGCAGTCCTCTTCGGTCCCCGCTGCCTGAACTCAAGTGCGCGGCTCTTGCGCGGTTCGGTCCGTCCGGGATGCTGAAGGGAAACCAGCGCGCTGATTGGCTGCTGCCTCGTGCCAAGAGCGGGCTCCTTCTCGCGTCGTTGGCTGCGATGTTGCTCCGGCGCTCAGTGGAGCGCTCATGAAGGACACGTCCGGAGAGCACAGCGTCTTTTTGATGCTTTTATATATTTGGCTTCACTAATAAACAACCGTGAAGTCACCGTGTGTGTGTGTGTGTGTGTGTGTGTGTGTGTGTGTGTGTGTGTGTGTGTGTGTGTGTGTGTGTGTGTGTGTGTGTGTCACATACAGAAGCAATAAAAAAGGACTTTCTATGATTAGTGCACCATTGAGCATTGACCGTGGTTGAAGAATGTTCTGTGTTTTGGTGGGTGGCTCGAGGGAATGGACCCAAAGGACGTTATACTGCGGTGAGGCCCTTTGTCGGCCAAAGGGATGCTTATCTCCCCAAGAATTCCCCCTGAATCTGACTCCTCATGAGGTCCAGTGTGCGAATGTGTTACATAACCATGTTATGGTGGTGGACATTATGTAAACTTACTGATGGATCATATATTCATACTAAGCTGTCAGATATACTATGCTACTATATGTCTATTAGAGAAGAGAGAGCTTGTACCATGATTATAAAAAAACCTGCCTGACTAAAATCACTTGATGACATAATAGTCCTTCTCTAGCTGCTTCAAGTGCGCCACTGTGTGGTTAATTGCAGCCATCACCTCATTAGGACTTTCTCAATAATTCCCCCTTTCATGAGCAATAACTAAATGAAACGGCAGATAACTAATATATTTTAAACTGATGTGGTTGTTTAATTATAACATGTACTCATGTTTTGCGTACATATATGTGTGCATGTACACTGTTTGAGGCTTCAGGCTTCTAATATCCCATGCAGATGTTTTCTTCCTTTCAGACCCAGCACATCAAAAAGGATTCTTGCGTTTATATTACAATGGCCATTGCTCTGGCCAGTATTCTGTCAAAAGTCCTGGAAATAATCATAATAGACAGATTAAATGAGTTTATTCACTCCTCAGATACCCAGTTTGTATCAGTCGGGTCGGAGCCGGGGAGGAGGACAAGGACGCAGAGAGGTTTGACTGCAGGAGATTTATTCAAATAATATCATATATCTAATAACACCAAAATACAACGATCCTTTTCACATCACAATACTAACGCGGGTGAACATGCAAAACTACAAGACACACTGGCACAGGACAAAGGGAGACGCAGACAATAAGTATCCATGAGGGAGGTGAGGGAACAGGTGGAGACAATTAGGAATCAGGGGAGACAATCGACAGGAGACACCTGAGGAAGGGCAAGACACCTGAAACGAGAGGGGGTTTAGACGCCACAATAAAACAGGAAGTCTCAAAATCAGACGTAAGACAGGACACAAACACAAACTTCACCAACATGTATGACAGTTTGGCCTTGATGCTTTAAAATGGAATTGTCAATATATATAGAGGTCAAAACTCATCCGTTCTCATGTGTTTTATTGATGCCTCGAAAGCTTTTGACCATTTTAATCATGAAAAATTGTTTAAAAAACACCCATATCTGAGTGTTCCCAACTCATTCTGGTTAAACAAACAGTGAAGCTCCATAGATTCAGTTTCCAAATCCCTGTTTAGCTCGTGTGACTTCTCTCTGTTGGAGATTAATTCATTCTTTCATTGCATCTTGATACAGCTTTGCCAAAATCGTGATACTTTTGCTTTTGAAAGTTGTCTTGTGTTTCTTCTCTGCCATTACTTTTGCACAACGTATTTCCTCTTCATGGCTATTAAAGGAGTTTGGTATTGTCCTTTTTCTATTTCGTGTATTGTTGTTTGTTGGTTGTTTTGGCTTTTGAAATCTTACGCCTTGGGTTTTTTTGTTAATAAATGTAATTCCTTGTTAAACAAGCGAGTGCTTTGGTAGCCTTTTCTGTGTCAGTCCCCTTTCGGGTGACTTTCTCAAACGTTACTCCTTGTGTTCCCCTAATCATTAAGCGACGGTTGTAACGCGGCCATCTAGTGGGGACAATATGTGACGGCTTGCTTTAAAAAAATGAGCTCTTAATGGGCTGATACTGTGCTTTCTTCAAATTCTGGAATCAAATATAAAACATAAAGGCTTAACCTTTGGCCATCAGCTAAAATGACCAGATGCTAAAAGTTACTGTGTATATTATTTGATACCCAATGTAGGCTGACAATATCCGGCCTCATGCTGCAGATATCAGCGGACTACCAGCTATCTGACTGAGGCCAGCAGAACAGAGGAATTGGGACTGGACTTTGACTTTCTATACACGTGAGTGAGATAAAACAATGCTTTAAATAAATCAATCGTTTAAAAAAACTGCGGTAAAATGGAAAGAAAAGACCAAAACACCATGACAGATCCACAGCTAATCCAACTGCATGCACGATGTCCATTGGATGATCAAACTGTGGAGTTAAGTCCAACTCTGTCCTTATCAACAATGCTCCATGGTCGTATGGCTCAGTTTCATGAGGCATATCTTCAGAATGATTTTGAACATTTCTCACAGCAGCATATCCTCATGCACCACCATGCAAACATTACCAACTGCTAAGTGTCATCTGGGGTCATAACGGAGCTTCCCAGAGGGTCCTGCACTCCGGGGACAGGCTGTCCAGACTTCTGACACGCGGCCTGAGCCTCTTCAGTGTCCAGCTTGCAGCTTTTGTAATCGCTCACTGACACATTTAAGACACACGGGAAACAAAACGGAGAGAAGTGTATTACAAATGGCAATACATGTGACAGAAACAACAATGCGTGTATCCTTTTCAATTCATTTTCACAATAATTCATTCTAACAAACATTGCATATCTAATGTAATACTCCTACCTGACGTTTGTGGTGTGATTACTTATACTGTGTTCCTAATACCTTTGCTTTGTCCATTTTTATGAATGAAAATCATTTTTTAGAGTGAATACTATTTGGAGAAATATTGAGCCAACATTGGGTTATAAATGAATAACACCACAGTCGTACGAGCTTGAGTTTGCACAACAAGGCTGTAAATGCTGACTAGTCAGCGCAATGACCTTTGACCCATTTACCAAATTAAAAGCTCCAGGATTCACAGAGCGTTATCTGCTCACATATTTATTTAAAATGACTCAAATCTCTCAAGATTCTGTAAATCAAAGACCATAATTCAGGCATCTAACCAGAACACAGATTAAAAAACACTGAAGAAAACCAATACAAGGGGACAGGAAGGGCAAACATGCTAACTGAGGTTCATTCCCGCGGCACTCTGTGGCGTTAATAATTGAAGTTAAATACTTACTTGCTGTGTTGTTTGTGGGACTCTCTGTGCCATAATGGAAACTATTCTCTTTAGCTGCTGATTTATTAAAGTTTTCCACCTGCAAAACCAAATACAATTTTAATGCATTTGATGCAAAACAAATAAAAGTAAGATTTCGGCAGACATGATTACCTCAGTGCAAATCGACTCTGAAAGTCGCCTTGTGAGTGGGCCTTCGTTGTCAAATTGGCAGGTACTGCAGCAAAACCAGAATCACATTAATTATCTAGAAAACTGGCTGTAAAAATGGTGTAAGAAGAGCTTTAAGGAATTTTACCCTGAACTATGCGATAATGCCGGCTCACAGTCAATTGAAGTTTCTTGATTCTTTAAAAAAAGTCAACAGAAAACATTTTTACACTCGCGTGAACAAATGAACAAATCACAGTCAGTAAGAAGCAAAGGACACGTCTCACCTGTCGGTCCCCGCTATTGATTTTGGCATCTTGGTGATTTCCTGTTTCAATGTTTTTGGCTTCTTTTTGTCGCTGCCTCTTTATATAATCATATGTGCTTATGCCTTTACAAACTGTAAAGCAAAGAGGGAAGTAATGGGGGATGTTGACCCGGATGAGGAAAAGACAGCCACAGTTAAGCCAAAAGTTTAAGTCTTGAGGATTTTGACTCACAGAGGTAGAGGTGGAAGACCAGCAGATGGCCGAGTAGCAGCATGCAGGTGATGCTCAGCACGGCTGTTATGAACGCTAATAAAAGGAAAATGGCTGAACCGGTCTTTATGGGTGCTAAGGGTAAAAACACCAGCCAGGTACCATTCCCCATTACACCTACAGAAAGTAGCACAAAAACACTCTTAACACTCAAATAGCTTTAAATGACGGATTTAATAAAAAATAAAAAGAAAGAGTAAAATATTACGGTGACTCACTGTCAAACTGCGGGGCGGTCCGCAGGCTGTTTGGATCTAGGTAATGCTGAATAAATATGAATAAAAAGACCACAACCAGCAGGAGGATGCCCAGCATGGCAGAGGACAGCGCCACAAAGAAGCACCTGAAGGCGCACACAGAAGCTGATGTTAGTTCATAAAGCATTCCCCCGTTCATTTAAACATCAGACATGAAGTCAGGCACATGAAGTCCATCCACAGCGTTCTCTTACCAGTAGTTTCTGCCACCCACACAGGTGTTCAGCCATTTGCAATGGTGATCAAAGTCCTCCACACACTTGTTGCAAACGCCACAGTGTTTTACTTTAGGGCCGCTACGTGAAGACGCATCATGTTAGACATCATAAAGCACGTTTTCATAGTTGCCAAATTACTACGAGTTTCGAAAAACCTAAATGGCATTGGAGAATACGTACACCTTGACATCGCATAGATAACAGTGTTGGTCCTGGATGACATGCGTTTGCTTCGACCTGTCAAAAAGCGCCGTTGGACTGGAATAGCTCCGTTTGGCCCTCACAGTGACATCCGCTGGGTCTATTGTTACGACGGCAACGTGGGCAAAGATGTGTACAATAAAAGAAATTCCAGCCAGCTGGAAACGACAAGAGTCAAGGAAAATAGCGATAACGTTCGAAAAAATACTAGAATATATGACAAAACAGTGCAGAACAGTAAGTGGCCAAAGGGAAAAAAGTGGATCGTTTGTGTGAGAAATGAAGTCAGTTCTGAAGAACTTGACTGTTCCCAAAGCCTCAGTTTAATGGACCAGTGTTCATGCAGCATTCACCATTCGACTAAAACACCATTGATTACGTCTTTTTTGCTTAATAGAGGCCGCAGTCACAGAGACAGAGGCACGTTTGGTGTGACTGCAGCCCATACAGACAGGCCTCACAACAACATCCTTGTCTTCTCCAACTGTCCAAACAAAACCTTAGCAGAGACGTTTGCTGCATATTCAAAGCCGACAAGCCAATTGCCGCACACTTAACGCTCGTCTACTACAACAGCTAGATTTTCTCTGCGTGATAAGGATACAGCGTAGGCCACGTGCTTCCATGGCAGCGGCAGTAGAGGGATATAGATGCCGAAGCTGACCACGGCGAGGTAGCTGCAAACCAGCCAGCCAGCCACTTGGAAAGCCTGAGGGGGCCATGACCATCCATTCATCCTGGGGGGCTTCGAGGGCACCAGCTCCATCCTACTGCCGCCGCCCATGGGAGCGGTGCGTCTCAGCTTTTGGCTGAAGCAGTTCATCTGGAGGACAAACACGGGTGGGATGAGAAGGAGCTTCCTCCACACGTTAGACGTACAACACGCAGGTCCAGCCGCAGCAGATTGTGACTGTATTTGATGGGGAAATGAGTTAGGAAAATGAGTTGAGCATGATGATGATACAGCGACTGCTCAGCCATTACTGAAGTATACTCAGGCTGCATTTAGTTAAACACAAAAACTGTTCATACTGTCAACAGTTTTGTCGAGCATTACATAGTTTATACATATGTGCACCAATGCGGTTACATATTCTAAAGATAACCTGTAAATTGACTGCAATTTGTGGGATTTAAATGCAATTAATGTTTGTTTTGTTCATTAGACTTATTAATGAAATGGCTGTTTGCTATTAAACTATTTGTTTTTTAAGTAACTAGCGTTATTAAAGGGGCTCTGTTTTATCACACATAGCATTTTGTCTCAAATCATTTCCAAGGCGTTACAAAAAAACTACACATTTAAGCCAACAATAATACAGGTTTAATTTTACAATAGCACCGTCTATTTTAATTAATGCAGAAATACTTACATTCGCCGTTGAAAGAAAGTGGCCATGGGGTAAAAACAATATACGCTCCTGTTCAATTACGGAGCGAGAGTCTGATACCAAATGATTAGTTTATCAGTAGCCCGCGTGCTCCACTATGCAAAAGCCACATTTAAAAAAATAAATTAAAAAAAACACGTCGCCCGAACAACGCGATCGGAAAACACCCGGTAAAAAACAATTAAAACCGCCCGACGTCCTGTTATTTGTGTCCCCGAAGGACGTGAATCGGAAGTTGAAGAATCAACTCGCTCAGCAGGTCGGAGCAGCGCCATGGAAACAGTCCTACTGCGCATGCGCGCCGCAGCTCCGGAGCGCTGCTCTTTTCCAGCGGAGCGTCCGCGCATGGAGCTCGCGGATCAGACCTCTGAATACGCGCCCCTCAAGTGAAGCAAGCAACTTTCATCAGAGCGACAGCCAACACAGATTAGAAGATCACTGCTCGCATGCTTATGGAACCGCACACATTTCTTAATGTGCAAGTGTTTATTTGTTGCACACAAAAACATACAACTAGACAACAAGAATCGACGCAATGAATGATATTCAGTCTTAAAAACATTTAATTTTCATTTAAACAGTCCAAGCTTCTGCTGTTAGCCACAGGAGAAACCGAATGGCGTTGTGTGTGGTCAGGTGTTGGCTGTGCTCTCTGTCTCCGGAGACTGCAGGAACTCGTAGGGATCGTGAACCATCTCAGACTGATCCAGGTGGGCCGGGCTCCCTGCGGAAGAAGGAACACACGGCTCTTCAGTTGTTGCACTGGTGTTACTATCCTTTGTAAACCATTGAAAGTCGGCAGACTTTATAGTGGGGGAGTTTATAGCTGATATTTAGCAACACGGTATTATGACTTGGTGGCGTGCAAATCACAATTATACGTTGTTTAAACTGTAGCTGAAAAGCACATAAAGGGCTCCCCTCTGTGCAACTACTTTTTTAGTCCTACACTTATAGCAGATACCTAAGTGGTGCTGATCCCTCTCTGAGGCATTAGAAAGGGAAGACAGGTTGGACGAAGGCCTAGAGCCGACTCTGTCCACTTGAGCATCCTGGAACTCCTGCAGGAGTTTGTCTGCCTCGTCAAAGCTCTGCTGGCCCTCCTCGTTGCCAGGCTCTTTTTTGACTGTTTTACCTGATAAAGAAAAGAGGGAAGATTGTTGTAAGACAGTAAAATGAAATAATAAATGCACAACTTCCATTTAAAAGGAGAAAAGACGGAGTGGAGAGTTACATCCAATATTTCCGTTATGTTTACTTTAAGTACATTGACTGCTACTTTCACCATACTCATATTTCTGTTATGAAAGACTGGAACTGTACAGAAAAAAAAAACGCGTTAGTCCGAGCGTTGATGGAGATAATCACCTAATGAGTTCAGCAGAGATAATTCCAGAGACATATCAGGATAGTTCTTCATTGACATGAAGTCCAGGACTGAGCCACTGTCCCCCAGTCCCGTGCCGTCTGCCATCTAAACAAAAATACACAGCTTCAGTCCCACAGCCGAGCGACTACCTCAACGTATCTTCAGTTTCAAGAGAACTGCCACATACCTGTATGTCACAGATGTTGGATTTGGTTTCCTCGGGTATTAGCGCGATGTTTCTCTTCTGAAATGTAAAGAAATGAAAATCAATTAGGAAACAGGTGGGAGACCCGTCTGCGGTGGCATTGGTGAGGACAACCGTGCAATGCGTGTATTACTGTGTATTAGGTAGAAGTCAGATACCTGTCGGATTTGATTGACAGCTTTAGTGTGATCGCCCGCGGTCATTGTGTCCAGTAGCCTGTCGACCCAACGCCTCGTGACGCCTCCGCAGCCCTTGACAAACTCCTGTATGCTTTGGGTGAAAGTTTACACATTACACAGGCTGAAATCATTTCCGATATCTAAAATTTAGCTAATGACAAAAAGGTTTGCCTACCTGAGAGCACATTGTACCCCCGCCTCGTCGCCATAGGCAGAATAGAGCGTGTCCACCTCGTCGGGTAGCAGGTCGGGAAAGACAGAGTTCTTCTGAAGGGTCTGAACGTTGTATGCACTGCTCAGAAACGTTACTACACAGGGCAACAAAAAAAAAAGATCCTTTTTAAGTCATACACTTTCTGGCATATGTGAGTCATTGTTATTTAGATGATTGAAACCAGCAGCATTGAGTGACTGGATACCTTTGTGTTGCCTGTCATCTTTGAAACCCAAGGTCGTTAATCCAGGCAGAAGCTTATTTGAAAGAGAACTCAGGTCCACTTTATGAGTCTCGTCTTCTGCAATACATTAAGAATAATTACACTCACGTGTAGTGAATATTTGAAAGATGTTTAAAAAAAGAGAATAAACAACAAACCCTCTGCCTCAGGATCCAGCTGATTCACAACAGTGTATAAGAGAGAACTGTCCTGCTCTTTACGCAAGTAGCCCATCTGAAAACATGGATCGGAGAAAAAACAAATTGTCACGCATAGAAGAAGTAACACCGTGAAGCGTGGAAGCCTTACGAACACCCTGTGATTTTATGTAACACAATATACCTTTAGCTGGTAGTCAGTGTGTATGAATGGTAAATTAGACACCACAAGCTAAAAGGAAAACCTTGGAGTTGGGCATGTATCTGTTGATCCGATCCCGAGCTTCATCTGCGGAATGCTCAACCAGTGCCAGGACGTGCTCCTCTGCTGTGCTGTCGGTCAGGCTGCATGCGTTTCCCTCTAGTTCAAACAGGTCACTGAGACAACAAAGGAGACAACGCATCATCACACTGATGTTGTACAGAAAAAGACACATTTTTCAGATATTACAAATAGAAAATACCTGATAACTTCCTTCATGTCTTTAACGGGCTGTTTCTTGGACTTCTTAGCTGATTCTACTGGGGTGGGGATTATCTCTGGAGGAGGAATATCAGCTGTAAGGTCTTCGTCTCCCAAAATGGCCGCCTGCTGGGTGAAATCCATTTCCTGCATGAAAGACATGCTGCGTTTCAAAGCCAACAGCCGTTCCTGCGCACAGGGCAGAGGAAGAAAGTGGCAACTTTGTCTGATTGCAAATGTCTGGATATGAGAGTACGATGAAGAAAATAGAAAGCAACAGCAGAAAGTTGTTGATGACCACAGGGATGTTTTAAGTGGAGATTCACCCTCTCTTACCTTGCTCATCATCTTAAATCCTGTATGAAGCAGTTTCTTGGCAGCTTTGTAATAGACCGTCTCTGGTCTGTTGTACACCATGGCATTGTCACACATCAGCTTAAAGTCCGCCTGAAGGCCAAAACGGGGTCCACAAACATTTTATTATACACTCAAAATAAATACATATTCACCATCCGAACTCTCACTCTGTGTTGAAAAGTATCCTCACCTTGAATTCTGTAACAGTGTTATATTCATTTTTTATAATCTTGTCTTTCATGGTGCTGAAGTCCATCGGATGTTTGATGATCATTGAGTAACCAGGGGCGATCGCATCCGTTACTGGAAAGGAGAAAAATCCATGGGGGTCTTTCCTGGAAAGACACAAGACGCACAATGTTATTCAATACAGCACTGACCTTAAGATTTGTTTTGACAAGTCACTCACTCACAATAATAAAGGCGCCGATAGACCAAAGACTGAAAACCTGCAGCCCATAAAGGCAGCAATGTTTATTGCACCATACTAAAACATTTTTTGTGGTTGCTGCTTAGAAAAAAACTTCTTTGAGTCAAATGGTGTAAAAGTCACATGTGTTTGTTCCCTTCTAACAATGTGGGTGCTCAAGTTATTTATTGCATGACAATTATATTAAGGGACATTCTGTTTGCAAAACGGAAAATTTTGAACTGAAGTGATGTCAACGAAAACACTCAAAGACTGGAAAAATTTGATATTCCTTTTGTAAATACCAAGGGAATAGGCCAATTGGTTCATGATATCTCTTGTGCACATGTACGTGCCCTTAATGATAAGTTCTTCAGCAAAAGACGGCATCACCGGTGGATTCAGCCATCAGACTGAGTCATTGTTCCTCACCTCTGCAACTGCCTCAGAAAGTGCTCCAGCAGTTGTTGACGAGGAGTGGATTCACTTTCTGCAATGGGCAAACGTAAAGAATACAGATGTCTATAGACACATTTAAAAGTAACGGTTGCGTTTTCTTCACAGAGAGGCATTCTTACCTTGTTGCGTCCTGCATGCTCGGAACGGCCTGTCTCCTTGTTGATCCAAGTCCAACTTCAAACTGTGGTGAAACTCATCCACTTCAGGATCAGGATCCAGCTCAAACTCTCGCTCTCTTTCTCTCTCTTTCTTCTTTTTCTTCTCTTCCGGCTGATGAGATATTGTCACAATGTCAGTGTCGTGCCAGCAAAAACATTAAGGAAGTATTGTGCCATGTTCTCGGGTTTGACTCACCTCCAATCCAATACTTATACTTTTTGGTAATGTGAAAGGCTCAACAGGTACACCGGTGCTGGCAGCAGTAGAAGCTGCTGTCTCTGATTCGTTCTGCTCCCGCTCTCTCTTCCTCCTCTTTTCCTCCTATGGTGTGATGGCATTTGTATTTATTTATTTTTTTACTTATAGCGGCACAACGCAGATAAATAAGTTCTAATGTTTTGTTTCTTGTTCTCCTGAGTTTGTACCCTATGGTTGAATGCACTTATTGAACGTCGCTTTGGATAAAAGCGTCCGCTAAATGATATGTAATGTAATGTAATGTTATTTTCCAAACCAACCTTACGCCGTCTTCTCTCCTCGTCATCCACATATTTGTCTTTATCCTTTTCAGACTTTTTCTTCTTCTTCTTCTTCTTGTCTTTGTGGCGTTCCCGCTCATGGTCCGATCTGTCATCGTAGTAACTCGAGTCGTGTCCCGAACCCGAGAGCTCCGTCACCTCACTCCCTCCAACTTTGAGCACAAGCTTCAGGGGCTTCTCAAGGGCCTTGTCCTCATAGTCTACCAACAAAACAGGGGATATATCGATTACAGGCTGAGGGAGGAGCAGGTCATACTGTTTTTTTTTCAACGATGTTGCCATTAGTATGGTAAGAACGCTGTAGGTCATATCTGTTATCGATTGCAAAATAAGTTGTGTATTGTTGATCAGTTAGATCACGTTATATGAAGTTGGAGCTTGTCGTATATTGCGTCTATTGTGTGACTACGTTTTATTGCATTCAACGGCATTGTTTTGCAGGACGTAATTCCATAATACTTAAAGACCAAAGTTGATTTAAATCAACTACATTTCTTGAGTTAAAAATGTTTTTATATATCTTAGGTTACTTGCGTAGTGTTATCTTATTGACACGGCCATAAATAAATAATTACAAATTGTAAATGATATTATATGTTACTTATACAGAACTGATTAACTCGGGGTTTTGGTAGAGAATGAAACCAGACAGATGAGGGATGTGGATGAGGTGGCAGAGTTGATTTTACAAAAACAAAAATATATAATAAACCTGCTGTCTTTTCCTGTTTGGTTAGCCAGCTAAGCTATCTAGCACACAGCTAGCTGGAACAAAAGCGATGCGGTGACTAATAATAAAATACGCATTCAGGTACCATCGACTGTTCTCCACTCCGGTTTATGCTTCTTGTGTTTTTTCCCCATTTCTCCGTCTTTATGGAAGAAGACTCGTGTCTACTCCAATTACGGTGCCAATGGTCTCTAGCGTCGGTCTAGACGCAACAAACCGTAGCAACCAGAGAGCTAGCGGCCGGCGGAAGCGCTGAGCCCAAGCTGTGACGTATTTCCGGTTTGATAAAGCCGCGCTGATTTCAAGTGCTCGTCGGGTTTCTGCCTCCACAGCGAACTGTCGAGAGTTAATTGAGTCCCGGAGCTTTTATTGATCCAAGTAATCAGACTGATAACGTAACGCTGAAAGGTGTAAGTTTAATGTGTTCGTTTTGTCAATGTAGCGAGGTGTTTACCTTTACTCATAGGTTGTTAAACGTTAGCCAGCGGCGTTAGCTAAACGTTAGCTACACGACCACCTCAGTCGAAAAGCTCTTTTTGGAGCTGTGAATGTTTTTCCTTTTGTTCCTAATTTCAGGCGGACGGTCGGTGACAGGATGGAGTTGGAAAATCAAAAACAAAACATTGACGTCGAGGTTCATGTTAAATCTCACAGGTGGGTTCGCTGAGCATGGCGGTGAATACATGCGTGATTATTTTCCAAATAATAAATACACTGCGTTTCGCCCGAAGCTTATTTTTCTCGGTGTCCAAACCAATTTTCATATCGATATCTGTCGGCTATCACTATGTGAGGAAGTCCTGTAAAAGCGAGACCTTTTCTCTCATTCCAGCACAGCTAAGAAGTCCGAGGTGAGGATACAGGTGCTGGGTCTGCTGAACCGACACGGCATGCTGTTTGGAAACTACAAATGGACCGAGTTCGATAAGGAATTCCTGCAGAAAAACGTTGAATCTGTGGCGATCGTTGATCAAGATGATTTAATAACACAGGTTATTTTGGTTTGCTTTGTAAATGTATGTATGTTTGTGTGAAGTAGTGATGCTTTGCAGTTTATTGTTTTCTTCATTAACCTATTTTTCTCAGCCCCTTGATTTGAAGAGCTACTCGGTCTCCATTCACATCTTCACCCTGAATGAGGATGGACCCAGCACGCTCAGTTTGGAGGAGGATGAAGAGCTTTCAGCCGCCAATCACTGGTTGCTGCCAGCAGGTACTTTAACACTGCGTTCGGCATTCATGCTTTCTCACTCTTTCTATTTCCAGTGGAAGTCGGTCATTCATTTTTCTTAACATAAACCGTGTTTCGGAGTGACCCCCAAACTACCATTCAATAGTTGCTAAATATTTCCTTAAAATAACTTCATGTTTGTCTAACAGCTGAATTCAATGGCATTTGGGAGAGTCTGGTATACGAGAGTGGAGTCAAAACCCAGGTAAGACCGGAAAGCAAAATAGCAGTTAAGTTGCACAACCATTTCAATGATCACTGCTAAACTTCTACTTGTCTTTGTTTTCCTGTAGCTCCTGAATTACATTTCCACAACAATTTACTTCTCGGACAAAAATGTTGACAGTAACTTGATTTCGTGGAACCGCGTTGTGCTGCTTCACGGTAAATAACCAGAAGAGAACTCCCAATGAGTTGAAGTCATCCCGGGGAGGATGTGTGTGATGCAGCTCATTGACCCCTTTGTGTGTTACTACATTCAGGCCCCCCGGGCACCGGGAAAACATCGCTGTGCAAAGCGCTGGCCCAGAAGTTGTCGATCAGACTGTCGAGTCGGTAAGTCAATCCTCTTTTAAAGGAAGCCGGTTTAGCAGTAAGTGAACCTGCACTTTTAATTTCAAAAGACTTTCTCCCTTGCAGGTATTCTTATGGGCAATTTGTCGAGATAAACAGCCACAGCTTGTTCTCAAAGTGGTTCTCGGAGGTACGCCTGGCTTCTCTTTATGTAAGTTGATGGCTTGAAGCATCTTTTGGATGAAAATGAAATTATTTCCATCATTCTTTGTTACAGAGCGGTAAATTGGTCACAAAGATGTTTCAAAAGATCCAACAACTAATCGACGACAAAGAAGCTCTCGTGTTTGTTCTGATTGACGAGGTAAAAATCGGCCTCGGGGAAAACAACTTGATTGTTGGAATCTGTCCAATCGACGCACTCACCATTTATTTATTGACTATGATGTTGAAGTCTTTCGTGTTGGTGAGTGCCTTTTATGGGACAAATACCTATTTGTGATTTATGGTAGGTGGAGAGTCTGACAGCAGCTAGGAGTGCCTCCCAGGCGGGAACGGAGCCCTCTGACGCCATCCGAGTGGTCAACTCTGTTCTCACCCAGCTGGACCAGATCAAACGGTCAGAAACCAAAAATGATCAATGTTCTGTTTCCGAAACCTTTCTTATTGCAACTTTTGGTCTCTTATTTCAGACATTCCAATGTAGTGATCCTGACGACCTCCAATGTGACACAGAAGATAGACCTGGCGTTTGTGGACAGAGCTGACATCAAGCAGTACATCGGGCCTCCATCTGAGAAGGGCATTTACAACATCTATCTCTCCTGCCTGGAGGAGCTGATGAAGGTGACTGAACTATCTGGTCGGGTCTTTTCCTTCTTTTTTGGGATCAAATTGATATTAAGGATATGCACGGGATATTGATAAAATGACATAAGTGGAAACACAAAAAAAAAATAGAAATCAAAATGGAAACTTGCAAGTTGTGATCCGAAACACTTTTGCCGTAACAAGTTGGAACACTTCCACGTTCAAACTAATGTATCTTAGAAAAGGGCCCGTTGGTTTAATAGTTTTTTGGGGGATTTTCTTTGTTTGAGTCAACATCTTGACAAAAGACAGAACAATGATGGCGGTAAGGAGCACCGCTCCTCCTCAAGATTTGAGCAGGTTGTCCGCTGATTGAAAAGTCGGCGGTTCGATCCCCCCTCTCCTCTTGTCTTTCATCCCCAACTCCTCCTAATATTTATTGCAGCAACAAGACTAAGCGATTTCGTTTGCCAAAACCAAAAACACAGCAAACATAATCGGGCGAGTTGATAGATTTCCCTCTCTGACGTGTGCAGTGTCAGATCATCTACCCCCGGCAGCAGCTCTTCACCATGTTTGAGCTGGAGACGATGGGCTTTGCCATGAGCGAGGTGTCCGAGCACAGTCTGACCCTGCGGGACATCGCTGTGTGAGTAAAGCCCCGTGCGAATATCCGAGGGCCAGTGACATCGGCCATGAGGGGACTGATGTTTTTGTTTTTCCTTTCTCCTTCCCAGAAGGAGCAAAGGTTTGAGTGGAAGAGCGCTCAGGAAGCTGCCGTTTCTGGCCCACGCGCTGTTTGTCAAGGTGAGCGTTTTGATTTTGGTTCCACAGATCGAACCGGGAGACGAGTCGTGTTGTTTCGTAATGCGGTTGGTTTGCCCGCAGACGCCGACGGTAACTCTCGAGAGGTTTCTGGAGGCGATGACGCAAGCAGTGGACAAACAGATGGAGGAGACGGCCAACCTGGTCAATGCGGTTTGAACGCGTTACGAAGCCCAGAGGCTGACGCGTCATTGTTGGGGAGCCCTCAACCCCCCCGCCCTGTTTGTTTGCACCCTTACATGTTTTTAAATGAAGCTTAATCCTTTTAATTTGGCAGCAACATGATGAAACACATTGGCGAGTGATGGTGTTTTAACAAATGTTAACTATTTGATTCAGGTGAATTTGGTTGGTGCGGCGACTGCGCCGCGGTCTAAAAAGTTTGGTTTTAGATGGAGAATCCATGTTTACGCTGTTCTTCGTTTTGAAGGGAAGGTTTTATGTAACGTTGAGCTTTACCGTACCGGTGCCAGCTTCTTTTGGTTTCTGAGGGAATAGTTCACATTTGGATATGCAATTCGTTATTTGAGCTTTAATTAAAAATTCTGTGTACGTATTACCTCAGTCCATGGATGTTATTGCTGGTATCTCTCTGAGGGGGGCAATGGGTTCCGTTTTCAGCCTTTCACTTCTTTCATATATGTTGTCAGCTCTCTGAGATTCCCGCATCCACAGGATCTGTAGAATGAGCAAGTGTTCATTTGCAATGCAAACCTGTGTTCAAGATCGTAAACGGTCACTTAAACACGCGGTTTCTTTTGTTGACTATTCATGTGTTCACGTTGAAAGGTTTAGTTATCATTGTGTGTTAACGTAATGTTTATTACGTCTTTATTTTGTAAATGACATTGTAATAAAATGTTTGGTTTATGTTCTTTTGTGTTGTGGAAATGCTGCCGATGCATTTTGGAGATTTTTTAACAATTGCTACAGGTCACCACTTGGTGGCGCACAGACGCTGTCATGTGGGTTCAGACGTGGAAAGACTGAATTTATAAAGTGTATTTTATCGCACGGGATGATTGCAATAAAGGCAGTAAGTGGAAAAGGAAAACGATACCAGAATAAAAAAAGATTACAATGGACCTTGGGCCTGTGTAATTTATCAAAATAATGAATGAGTAAAATATACATTTGCCACAATTTCTGACCTAAAAAGAGAAGAAGACGGTCAGAAGATGATTACGCTGTGAATTGTATCAGTCGGTTTACACCAACAGATCAGTGGCTCCTTTGTTCGTATGAACATGTTTTGCATTCTGTGAATGCTCGGCTGCTTTGCATGTCAGCTGCCGGGTTCAGACAATGTGCCCTTTTGTTTGTTGTTGAGCAACAGCTTTTTCACTCCACTTCAAAGGCAGGTTCTGTATGCTGTTCCTGAATGTAAAAGGGCAGCAAACAGTTCACGCAAGTTCCTCTTCCTTCACAACTCGATCCCGTCACTGTCACCTCCTTTTTAAAAGGTCTCTTGTATGGAACGGTTACAGGTTTCATTTTCCTGTCTGCGTGTTATGGTCAAGCAAAGGATTTGTATTGTAAACAAGACCTGGAACAACATTTTATCCTTAATGATTGAGTTTTGCAAGAGAGCCAGAATAGATTTCCCTTCAAACCTTCCATTCATTCAAGGAGGGTAACCGTTGTTTACTGGGATTATCCCTTTAATGCCGTTGTATCCTTTACACATAATACTTTGGCATAAGTGTACAATAAATCACATAAAGAAGCTCCAGTTTTCATCTGTAATCACAAGGGAAATGGGCCAGTTCGAGAAAGGGAGAGCTTCAGGAACAGGAATGGTAAATAAAACCATAATCGCTCTGGCTGGAGGCATTTTCTTTTTTCTTCATTTTGATTGTAGTTTCTCCAAGCAGCGGTTAAAAAGCAATCAAGACGCAGAGTGAAGAAAATTCAAAAGCCTTATTGTTCGTTTTATCACTGCTTTAAGCAGAGAACTCCAAAACAAACAGTCTGATGTTTATCCCCTCAACCGTTGTCCAGGTACATGGCTGAAAGCTATGGAATATTTCTGCATGTGCCAATGGTGATTCACATAGTGAGGGCATTCACTTACACACGCGCTTACAGGCATGTTAAGGAGAAAATGAACAGAACAAACCATGGAAACTCTCACTCATTTCTCAGAGTATTAAAAAGCCCGATTGAGTCATAAAGAGGTTGTGATTGATATGATCTTTTAGTGGGGTTTTTAAAGTTCATTTATTGAAGTATGTTTAGAAAAATCTCTGCACTTCAACCGGGATGTTAATCCACATCCTTTTGTGCAAATGCACGATAGCCGACAAAACTTAGTGCTCAATTCTTCATGGACCTGACAGCCTTTGATGATGTATCCAAGTCCTCATCGCTCCTTAAAGAAAACCTCAACTACGTCTGTTCCCAATCATAACAGGAACCGTTGTTTTCGTCTCCGGATGTCTCTGCATCCCGTAAGTATGTCATTCATTTGATCGGGGACGCCCGAGGGAGTGAAAGAAAGAGAATGAGCGAGAGAGAGAGACACCTTGTGAAGAGGCTGTATCCTGGGATCCAGGCTGCACAGAGAGTCATTAGGCACGGAGAGTAGGATCAAAGAAAGCCGCCATCAATGGGCTCATCCTGTCAGCTACTGAGAAGTGGAACGGCAGACAGATTGCCACATTCATCGAGGTATGAGAGACCGGGATGATGTGATGACAGAAAATAACACGCATGTCTCTCATGATCCTCCAGGCAGAGCGGCCTCGTGTAGGTAGTGAAGGACGGGAGTTTCGTCATTTCTTATATGGCAGCAGCACTCTGGAGCAGTGAGCATGTGACTGTTTTCAATGAACATTTACGAAAGACGTTCATTCTTTCACACCGAGCTACAGGTGAATTTTTATAATTCTGAAAACCAATAATGGAAATTGTTGTATGAAGTGTTTCAGTGGCGTGTTACCAAACAGACAAGTGTCATTTACTTATTAATTGCACCTTTTTGTGTATTTACACACTATAAAGATGTTTTAAGCACAGTTAGAATCTATTTGGATTGAAGTCCAGCCTAAACATTTTTTCAGTAATCCTAGTTTCTATCACAACCACTTTTTAATCTAACAACTTTAAACAGTAAACCTTTATATTGTTTTATTGAGAGACCCGTGGCCTAAGAAATAATGTGCCTAATAGGATGAGGAATCGTTTTACCGTTTCTTCATAAATACATTCCATTTGTTCGAAAATTCACACCAACAGAAGACGCGGTTTCACATTCAGTCACATGAGCTCTACATTAAGATGAACAAAACCGGAAATGAATTAATATACTTTTCAGAATAATAGTAGCTTGCGCTTGGAAAAACTACAAAATGAAAACATAACTCTGTGTGGAGGAACAAATAATGATGACATGGTCTCTTCAGATGTTAGACATTGTTAAAGTGAACAAGACATAGTTTAATGAAAATAAGTAATTAAAGGGTAAATGCTATTGGAACAAAACTGTCTTGTTTGCAGACCAAACTGAAGACTTTAGGAATCAGACATTGTTTTTCACACATCTTCCAGGGATGTGCAGCTGAACAATAAACTACAGCATACACTACAAAATAATGCAAATCAATGACTGTATTGTTTTAATTTCAAGGACTGTGGGTAATCTGTAAAATGTGACTAGGTAGATGACTCGTTATCTTTGTACAATGGTTGACCCACGTTAATCACCAAACTATCATTGCAACCTTCACCAAATGAAGACATTCGGTTAAATGCTTAAAATAAGCAACAAGTTATTTCTCTATGCGTTTTGTTACTCCAGCGGTTGGAACAATATAGTCCAATACTTTAATATTTTATTTTGTAAAGGCACTAACCGGAAGCCGTGTGCCTGCTGCGTCTCTCTTGACGCGCTGTGATCTCCGCTGTGTTCGCAGCGCCTCCTCAGTCAGTTGGACTTAAGTCTGTGGACGCGCAGCGAGTCTTGCCTTGTCTCCTCCAAACATACAACCCCCAGATTTATCTCCTTTCTGCACACACACACGCACACGCACGCACGCACACACACACACCAGCTGATGCCTCAGTGAACATGCGACTGAATCACCTGCCTTTGGATGAAGTTGGAGTTTTCTTCTTGCAGAACAAACACAATGTGACCATGTTGAAGCAGTGACTGTTTTGTCCGATATCGGAGTACCTGTATTGATCCAGTGAAGAGGGACTTGAGAATGGGGAAACATCAGTCCAAACATGGTAAGAATTGTTGATGTTTTTCACCTCTCAATAAAGCATTTCCATTTCCATCTCTCACACGAACTAACTTTTGTCTGTTTTGCAGCGTGCAAGCGCAGAGAAAATCCTGAAGGTGAGGATGTACCGATTATTTAGCATAACGAACTTTTATAAATGGCGGTGTTCTAATAAAGTAGTGTGAGCTTGAGATGTATCCCTGCTCATCGGTGGACTTTCTCCATGTTAGGAGACAGTTTTGTGGTGAACGCCTTCCTCCGGAGAGGGATGGAGGAGTGTGAACGGTACAGCGCGACGGATCACAAGCCGAAGAACATGCAGGTATCAGGCACCTTTTCCTCTTTCTCGGTGGACCTGTTTGAGCTAAAAGAAACAGCCTGCACGGCTATTCTCTTTCCCTTTAATGACTTAGAGCGTGTACAAATACGTTTGAATACTGACTGAGAATTTCCAAGAGTATAAAAGAAAGAAACCTCTCCATTAAAATACGGGGAAGATGAAATCCAGCGTTCTGGTTGGTTGATGAGTGAGTCACGGGGTACAGTACCTGTTCACCTGGTCCCGAGCGGCCCGCATCACTGCGCACGCGAAGTTGACATTTCAGCTTTCAGCTCGGTGGCGGTCTACGAAAAAAGGCCGGAAACACCACAAGTGATCGGTTTCACGCAATGAGAGCTCCCGCAACCGGACAATTGAGGTGGACGTCATGAGCGATGTGAATGAATGAGATGGTGCGAGATCTTGCAGGGAGACCCGATGCTGTTTACGTGCACGTACGGGGGCTATTTTTCTCTAGACTACTGACATGCGATGCAGAACGTTTGGTGGCTGCAAGTATTTTGTGCTGAAAGGCAGCTATTTACTTACTATTTATAATTTCGCTGGTAACCGTATTATAAAAGCAACAGGGTACTTGGGCCTAACAACGCCCCGAACTGTTACATTATTGAACTAAAAGTACAGCCTCTCATATCTTCTTGGTTAAGTAGGACAGGTTGTGTGGTGAAATGGTGAATATTACTCTCAGAGTAAATATGTGGTTATGCTGCGTGTTTCACATGCACAGTGTACCAGGTATGTTTGTTTGCTGACTGGATTGGTGAGCTGAGAACTTAAGGGAAGGCCAATCGACTGTGAGAGTGTGAAGACACGTGAGGTCACAGGTTGTCATGTGTCTGGCTCCGCCACAACGCCACGCGGCAGGTATTCCCCTGCCAGCATCACTGGAGGGGTTATGACAGCCATGGCGACATGACACGGCCAAGCAGGCACACTCACACACACGCGCACACACAGACACACACACAGAGACTAGATGGAAAGGTTGTTGTTTCTCAAACGGGAGGGATGTGAAGTGTTTGCTCTCGTGGCTCCTGGCATCATGGCATCATGGCATCCTGGCATCATGGCATCCTGGCATCATGGCATCCTGTCATCATGGCATCATGGCATCATGGCATCATGGCTGTGTCTTTTTCCTCAATGCCTCCCGTTCTAGTGCGGCGGCCCTCGGTGGCATAACATTACATCACTTCAATTAGTGTATCGCTTTGAAGGGCCACAACAGTCTGCGAGCTCTAAGACAGAAACTGCAGGGAGTTCACAGGGAGGTAGCGACGAGTCTGTGAGGTGGGCGGTTGGAAAGGTTGGAAGAGTTATGGATTATATCAGGCTGTAAACCGTCCATTTAAGGCAAATTAAAAGAGAACGTACCTTGCTTCAGAGGGGTCTTGAGTTCACACTCCCCTCAAGGAAAGCCACTAAAGGCATAAACCAGGCACTTATTAGTTGGTTGATCCAATACTCATTTCTATCAAAGGCAGGCCACTGATTTATTTTGTGTTATTAAGTAGTTAAATTAGAGGCTTGTTCACAGACCAGAACCAGCCAATTACCTCTCCTGCTTTCTTTGAGACTAATTTAGGATTTAGTTGAGAGGAGAATCCCAGTTCGGTCACGTCTGTTATGGCATATACTGGTCCTAATGGGTCTTTATTGCCAAACTATATAAATGGCAAGTAATGTTTTTTTGAGCCAGAAAATGACTTGCTAATCATGGTTTACTTGCAAAGGACATTTGCAACTAATTTATCAATTAATTAAATAAAACTCCCTCTAATGAAATTTACCTTGTGGGTTGGTTTTCAAGCATTAGTTCCAGCTTCACAGTTATAATACTTTGATGCTCTTTCCTGCCTGATGAGAGATATTTTTTGAATTATTAGTTGGACAAAAACAAAGCAATTTGAAAACATCCCTTTGGGAAATTATAATGACCATTTTTCACTGTTTTCTGACATTTTATTTAACAGTAATAGATTCATGTGAAATAGATTGCCGATCACGTAACAAATAAATCATTTGTTGAAGCGACCCTGGTCCAAGTATCAAATGCCTAATTATCCAGCAGTAGAAATGAAACTGATCCCGGGACACAACAGTGCTTTTTATGTTCAGTATATTTGCTATATGTGACTGCGTGTTTGTACGCGGTGACAGCTCTATTCACTGCGTTTAAATTGAGCTAATGTTAATGTGAAGATTGATGATGTCCTTGGGGATGCCTCTTATGCCGTATGGTTTCCTATGGAACAGGCTGACTTTTAGCTCATTAATCTCTGCTGTACGATGACGCGTTTCTCTTTTGATCCCAAATGCCTTTAATTAATTCTCCTCCAGGATCGGATTACATTGTCACACATCCAGATGTGGATATTGGATTATGAGTTGTTCGATGTCTGGGGTTTAGACCGTGATTAAACAAGTCCAAGTCAAGTAGAAAACCACAATAACATCAATAATTTAATTAATAAATATGTATATATATATTTTAAGTTTTTTACGTTTTTAGATGGATCTGGATGGGTAGATACCCGAAGTATCTACCCATCCAGCTCAAACCAGACAGTGGCTACACCGGTTATTACAGTTGATGAGCGGCAGGGACAGTTGAAAGTTGAAATTGCTTGATGATTTTTGGACAGGAGAAGATTGGCGGAACGCACTGTTTAGCTTTGACCATCCCCCCCCCTCCCCGTTCTCAAACGGGGGAGTAGGATTCCTGAGCTGTCTGGCTGCGACTTCAAAGCGCAAAGCTGGGAGTTATAAAAGGGCTCTGATATCAGTGGAGCCTCCGAACCCTCACCCCTCACCCCTCTATCCCCCTGCCCCGTCCTGGGGGATGGGCCGAGGGACGGAGTATATCCAGGAGGGGGAAAGCCAGCGCCGAGGCAGCCGGTGCCCAACATCAGTTTGTGTAAACCTGTGATCCTCCTCCTCCTCCTCAGTGAGCTTTCGGGCAGCTCTGTCTCACTTTAGAAAGATATTGATCAAAGGACAACAGGGCCCGTTCAAATGTTGGTATTGCCGCCTGTTTCGAGCTCGCAGCTGGCGAGTTGCTATCTGTGTGCAACCCTTACAGGACGGCGTTAGTGGACAAAAAGAGCGTGATTCAGCAGGAAGTCATCAAGATTTTGACACCTCTCTGCAGGTATTACCTGTTCAAACGCACGGTGTAATGTAGAATATAGGAGGGGAGATTGGAAGAGGCTTTTCGAGGTATAATCGTCTACCCCGCCTTCAAAAAACAAGTCTAGTCTGTGGTTAATTAATATGTAAAATGCAGGAAAATCCATGGCCTGAATTCCTCCAAACGTTAGTGGAAGAAGGTCCACCGTGTTTCACCTCTGGAAACATCAACAGTCTAGACCGTCACATACACAACCACAGTGCTTCATTTTGGAGCTTCAAGCAGACATACTTTGGTGCCCAAATAATGACAGGCTAATTCAGCCTTTCGGCACCATCTTTTGTCTAAGAACTCCCAACAGACTTGCCCCACAAAGAGGGAGTGTGTCAAAGCTTTAAATTCCACAACAAAGAACTCTATTATTCTACACTGAAAGGTTAATAATATCACACTCAAAGTTAAAAGGGCTTGTTTAGGTGTTTCAGTTGGATGTAGTGATGTGCCAAAAGCTCCGAGACGCAAATTTGTTTTGATTTGTGGAGAGTTACACAGCACTCGCCCCTCAATAATACCTTTCGTTTAAGAGCAGAGTTGCCAAGCACCTCACTCAACTAATTGTAAACTGGTGTTTCATTTATTTGGAATCTGTAAATAAGACTTTCCATTTATATAAAAGCGCTCATTTGGTGAGCAGGCCCAAAATGGATGTTATGTTTGGACAATTTTAACCGCAGGGCATTTGGTTGTATCTTCCGTTCATTTGGAGTCCACAGTGTTTGATTTGGATCCCGAGGATGTGATATCTGTGTAATTTTAAGGCCGTGGCCCTGAACGGCATTTCATTTTTTTAACTTTGAAACTAAAATGCGCTTTGATGTGATTCGCGTGCGCTGGATACAATCATGCACCTCCTCAAGTCATTGAGAGCTTGAGAACTTCCCCCAGGACACGATCTCGCCAGCAGCGTCTCGTGACTTTTCCCTCCCGCCTCTCTCGCACGACACGGACGACACAGGAGGAGCCTGTCCCCCGACGCGACGCCACCAGGGAGCGTTACATGGCGGGAAGGAGACAAAAAGGTGCACTCAAATATGTACTGCTTTTGAAGGAACTTGAAGGCATTTGGAAAGTTTGTTTTTTCCAACCCCTTTTTTTTGGGGGGGGGTGGGGGGGTTTAGGGAAAGGAGGGGGGGGGGGGGGGGGGGGTTGGCTTCACAAGAAGCGAGCTGTGAGCCTTCATCTCTGAATGAGAAGCATGTGGCTGGCATCCAGAACAGCGGGGCCTTTCAGCACGGCCCCAGCAGACATCTGTTCCTGGTTTGTACAGCGAAATCCTGGAGCAAGGAGAGGGGCTGTGGTGGGGGTGGCGGGGGGAACTGGGGGGGGTGGGGGGTTTAAGGGTTTTTTTTTCATGAGGGGAGATATTTCAGGGGGTTTAAAGGTAGTGGGGTAAGAGGAGTAATAGAGATCTCATCCCCATGGTCCAGCGCATGTTGTGTGTGTGTGTGGGGGGGGGAGCTGATCAGTGACCCCACTTTACCAAATCCCACCGCTCTCTTGGGCATTTCTCTTCCGTGTTGGTTGCCATTTGGCCAGAACAAACATTCACCTCTCTGTCAGTGTAAACATCATCCCCGTGTCGCCTCAAACACTCGTCACCAGTGTGAGATGCTTGTTTTTTCTATTCTTTCGCGTTGGAGTGCTTAAGTGCGTTTCGCCACACGGCTTTGCCCCCCCCCCCTCACGCTCCGTCTGCGTGTTTGTGAGTGAACGACTGAGGCAGAGTGGTTTGTGTGGTCTGTGCCTAATGGAGAAAGACATTAGAAACACTGCAGAGGACGACGAAATATTT